TAGTTAATTTATTATAATCATTTGAAAATGTCATTTTGGGGCCTGATTAAAAATGAGCTGTTTTGGGTGTATGCCACCTTAATGCAAATGAGCTGCATATCCCGCCCTGCCTTTGGATGAGGGCGTAACTTGATACCAATAGAGCATCACAGTCCCGCCCACAGCCCGAGAGAGCGCTGGTGCCGGAAGTAAATTTCCCATTCATTTCTCCCATTGACATTTTGTAAAATCCGTATCTAAAGAGTATTAGAGCATGTCTGAGGATAATCAGCTACGGCTGAACTCATAAGCATACAACACATCATTTCGAGTGAAAAAACGAAGAGAAAATACCAAAAAAAAGTCGAGGGTACAAGCCTGTGTACATGTTTTCATTTCCGAGCAAAGGAACTACTCCCATAAACCACCGCGCCTCACTGAAGTCATCTGAAAACCACCGTGAAAGAGCCTTTTGACTCGAGCGACTTCCAAATCTGACGACGGGCACGTGAACTTTTTCCTCCAGTGAATTTTATATAGTGAATGTACAGGGAAACCCCTTTTCCTCGATTTACTGAAGCAAATGCATTTGCAGCTCAACATGCAAAAACATTGAGTATCTGGCTCGCTCATTAGCTAAGCTGTGGCAACTGCACATCCAATGGCGCGCGGGTGTCTCAGAAGTGCGACCAATGAACTTAGCCCTACGTCATCAACGCAATCTTCAGTCTTCACGTACCTTCGCGGGGTTTCAGACACGTGACAGGAATTCCACCAATCAGATGCATCACTGTTGGGTTGTGGGATTGTTCAGGATTGTGGGTAATGAAGTACTTATCCAATATATCGCGAATAAAAGGCATTTATCTTAAAATAAGGTTAGTGCCCCATGAACTTTTGGCGTTTATATGAGCACATACAATTGCTTAGTACAGCCGTAGCTGGTTTTAAGTCAGTTAAGCTGACAGTTGTCCCTTGTAGGGGTGAAACCTCGGCATCCTGGCCAAATTTGCCCCTTGGCCTCCTAATCATCCCCATATAGTGATATAAAGAGTATATTTTTAAGATTGTGACATGAGGTGATCAATGGAGCAGATGCGTAGTGGATTTTGCTTAACACAACAAACCAGCCAACTGCCTTCTGACCTCAAATAACAGTTCACACAATGACCCCGCTGTATCAGGATCAGGGCTGTGACAGTCTCCGTCCTGACCCAAGAAGAGAAGTGTGTGCGTGATCAGTGTAAAATGGTCTTTCTCTCTGTAGATTCGGCACTTGCGTGGACCAGTGGATGAGAAGTTTGTAGCAGCACGGGGAGGGAGCGGGAACATCATCGGACACAAGTGAGTCGTGTGCCAGTGTGTGATTGTGGAGTGTTTGTATGTTCATTGTTCCAATGTTGCATGATAGTATACGAACAGCAGTGAATGTGACATTGTCTTTACAGCTGGAATCTCATTTATCGGCAGCCATGATCACAGGTAGAGATGGTGAAGTGAGCTGGAGAAAGACTGAGTGTACTTATCTGGCTTGCAACTTACTATGAGTACAAGCGTTTTTTTTTTTTTTTAATAATAAACCAGTCCTAAAATTGCTGTAAAATAACTTGTGGATAGTGAATCAGAGTCATTGGTATCTGAGAGATATAAGCATGAGATACAGTAGGCCTATATATAGTGATACAGATTAATAAAATATAATTTTAGATATAACACCTTGTAATTTCTATGCATGGTCAAGTTTTGAAGATAAACCAACATGCATAGTCTTTAGTGCCTGGAACCTTTACTTGTGCCTATTTGCAAAGATATAAGTAATGAGGAATCTGACAAAATAAATGGAAATATGTTTGAGAAATTCTTTGGAAATGTTGAAAGGCTGCATAATAATAGTCACACATTCGCCACCTTTATGATTCACGGACATTCAAATAGCTGACAGAGATCATTAAGTCAAAAAGCGACTGTGAAGTGCTCATAGTAAATGGTCAAATTCTAAAATCTGCAGTGATATTTAGGTATCATTGTTATGTTTAACCATGAATATCAATGAAAATTTGGGAAGGGGTGCATTATACAAAAACATATGCATATAACTCCATTATTCGAAGGTCAGATAAGTCATCATAGTCTTTCTTCACAGATTTAATCCTACTAAAATATTTTTTGTATAGCTATAGCTAACCAAGAGCAAATGTTCACTAAACATACTCATTGGGAAATCAAAGGTTTTATTTAATTGTCTTTAATAATGTCTATGGGACACGGACGGTAGACATAAAATTCTGCTTAAAGGTACATTCTGCAGTTGCAGGCTTAGCTACAGTTAGCCTCCAAGCTAATACCTTACAAAGATAATGAGCTTTTTCTCCGACTGCAGATTATACGTAAAAGCCAGTGATGCTTTGCATGTTAATGGGATGTCAGATGCCATTTGTTAATTCAATGTCTCCTGATATACTTCTTTGGAATTGTTTTTCCTTAAAATTATGTTAAGAAATAAGTGTGTATATAAAATCGCTATTTGGTTAACTAGCTAATGCTAATGTTTAATATAGCTGCTAAATTCATCTTCTAAACTCACTGCCACTTTCCTGTGAAATGCATCATTTGAAGCACATGTGCAGTAAACATATGGACCTTTCCTGGAAGTATCTCTCCCCTCAGGCATTATTTGTCACCTTTTTTCCCACCTCTCCAATGAGTCATACACAACTGATGCCTGGACGTGCCTTTTCAGCCTGGCTCCAGCAAGCTCATAATGGATTCCCTAATCCACAGTTGTATAGAGATTAAAATCTGGCTTAGATTTACTGAAGGCAATGCCATGGGAGGGGGAAGGAAAAGAGGGAGACATGGGGGATGGGCGGCTGGATTAGGGGCAGATCGTATCCTCTTACGGCACAGCTGTGCAAGAGAGTGACTGTCATTGATGGGTGCATCTTACAAACTGACCTTAGATCAGACTACACTACTGTATCAGTATTGAACAGAGAACATTATTATTTTAGACCAGCCATTTGGATTAGCTGACTATTTAAAACACTTCTGAGGTATATATATATATATATATATATATATATATATATGTATTTTTTAGTTTAGATTAGACGTCACTAACCAGTGGATCACAGTTGACCCAAGATTTATTCAGATCGCAGATTATTTTTCATCCAATCTCATAACATTACTATAAACATGATGTTTGGACTTTTGCTGGGAAGGAAATGTTTCAGTCTTTTGTAACTCGAATTCTACCATTGTTCAGATAATTTGGGAGCTAAAGGTCCATTGTTTCCAGATTTAACTCCAATTTGCACTCAAAAAGCACTAGGGGTGTAACGATACCTTCATGTCACGATTCGATACATATCATGATGCTGAACTCACGATACGATAATATTGCAAATTGCAATACTCCAAGACATATGGTAAAAGGTTAACAAAAAATGTACTGTTGATTAAATGCTAAACTTGATATTACATTGTGGGTTTAAATGAATAGGCTTGGACTTGGTGCTTGTAACAATGGTGACACCAAAATAACAATATTCATGATTCTGAAGCTGAAAATTCAGAATTATTTTAGATGAATGTGCTTGCACTCTTTCACTGACTAGAAATATTTGAAATAATGTTGGGCACGTTTTACTGCTAACATCAGACATTTGGCATTATCAGGACCCACAAATATTCCCCCATTGCATTATTATACATTATAATCAACATTATTTATAGTAGTTTAATGTAGTACTGACACTAAAACCCTGAAAACGTAGTAATTTCTATTTTGTGGGGACTATACATGATACATATTGTCACAATCCATGATACGTATTGTTGCAATTTTAAATTGCGATATATTGTGGCATGATATATTGTTACACCCCTAAAAAGCACACATATATAAAATCATCATATTTATTTAAAATTAGTTTAGTTATTTTATTATGAACAAAATAATATAAAATTTATTTGTACATACAATAAAATGTATTTATTTTAATATTAAATATATAAAATAATATTATGTTTCTTTATGTCTTAAATTGTATAAATATACTACCACTCAAAAGAAAGAAATGCTTTTATTTAGCAAGGATGCATTGAATATACAAAAGTGACAGAATACAGGAATAAATTACATTTATTAAAATAGAATATAAAATATATTAAACTGGAAAAAGCAATAATATTTCATTATGTGTTTTATTGTATGTTTGTATGAAACATCAACAAATCCTACCAACTCCAAATATTTGAAAAGTATAGTGAATTTTTATACATTTCAGATAAATATTTAAATGTAAATGTTAAGAATTAGTGCCAGTAATTGATAAATTGCAATGTGCACAATGCATTTTTTTGAAATGGCATAAGGGGGTTATTGCTTATATCACCAGCTTGGTTGGAATTCCTGGTTCCAGGAATTTATGATGATGGTCCTGAAATGAGAGTAGTGAACTAAAGATTACAGTTCTCAGTGTCAAAACTAAGTGAGCTGTTTTTAATACATCCAGCAAGCGAATGCATTTGACCTCAACTGACATTATCAGCACTGACACACCAGCTGATTCAATCCAAGCATAAAACATTACAATCAATACATGCATTTGAAGCTTTGTGACAGAATATGAGAAAACTGTGGTCTCAAACATGTCTGCTCAGAGTGTGACGGTAGAAACTGTGAACATCCCTCAAGTAGACCATTCAGTGTTGTTGAAGTGTTGAGTGTGCTGTTCATAATGGAAACCGCAGAATTTCACTCATGCATTTCCTGCGAAAGCCCATGATTTTTAAATATGACCATTTGGGACAAAGAATGAGAGACTTGCAGAAAAATCAGCGGGAGACATGTTCAATGAGGGTGGGTGAATGTTGCGTTGGCCCCACAGACCCCTAGTTGCTGAGCTTATATAAGGTCACATCTTATGTAAGATCCACTGGGGGGCTTAACTGGGCGATGGGCTGTCTCTGATGTGAGGGGGTGGAGTCTGAAACAGCAGGAGAGGATTGTGGGATTAGATGTTTGGAGGGAGGGCTGTATGTGTGTGTTTAAGTGGAGCAGTAGTAAGAGGATCTGTGTATGTATATGTATATTTATGTGTGTCCACATCTGTTTGGCAGACTTCTGTAAGGCTCTCTCTCTCTCTTTGTTTGGGTATCTCTCTGCCTCTTTTTCTGTCTTCTACCTCCTGCCTGCTATTTTCATAGATTCAGAGGAGTTTCTGTCTTGGTCAGTCACTTTATTTTCATTGGCAGAGGCAAGTCAGCATTTGTTCAGTTTTGGGACAGAGCAGAGGTCAGGAATGATTCTCACTTTAGGCGAAACGTTCTCAAACGGAGCAGGTTCTAACTCGGATGCCGGGGACGTTGCAGAAACTGGGGAGGGGGCGTCTGAACTTGCTGAGAGCGCAGAAACATCCGGAGGTTAGAGATCTTCATGTTTTTCCATATCCTCTGTAATTGTGCGTTCAAATACGAGTGTCATTTCTTGGCTCTTGTGAAACATCTTGGGGTGTAAAATATTCTGAACCAACCAAAAGAGATCATGCGTGGGTTGCCAGGTTGTGTCAAAGTGTGCAGATTAGAGTATGTTGAGAGCGTAGCTTAGCAATGGTTTGACAGATGCGTTGTTGTTGCATGTTTTGTTTGGTAATTTATGTTTTTTAATTTTTTTAACCAAGCAGAACTTGAATGTGAGGGTTAGAGAGGATCTCTTGCTAATCTTGAGAATGAGAAAAATGAAATATAAAAGTTACACACCAGATTCAGTCAGCACTGAAGCTTTAATTTGTTGTCTATTTTGAAATAGCCTGATTTTAATGATCTGAAATTTGACAGTTTTGTTTATATAGTTGAAATCTAGTTAATGAACCTAAAAGAGTCACTGTTTGCTATAAGAAGTTGATCCAAACACGTATACCTTAAGTCTATATTATTTTTTATGGACTAAAGTCTGGGAAATACAGACTTATAAGAAATAAATATTTTTTTCTCCCCCAACTTTGTATTGTTTAATTGGGTAAATTAATTTGATGTTATATGCAAGATTATTGACTTTTCTCAAATTAACATACGAGTTGGTCAAATTTTTTCACAAATAATATATTTTGATAAAACATGCAATTTTGAGACCAGTGGAGTGTGTGACATTTAGAGCTCACTGTTTGCACGGAATTTACAGTAAATCAGGTGTGTAATTTAATCTTTGGGTGTAACAGCCAAAACTGCAATTTAACTGTCAAACAGAGTGCTAATGCCTCTAATTAGGTCTTTAAAATAAACCAAATTAAAACACAGCTTACAGAATTTGACAGATATGAGAGGACGTTTTTATTAAAGGGTGTGTCCACACATATGTTTATGTTAAATGCGTGTTCTCATTTTTGAGCGTGTGTGTAACTTCATTTGTATTTTATTTCCCCCTCAATTGTTTATTACTCTGTCACTTCATCCATTATGTACTCTGTTCAGCCAAATAAGGGACGCCCTGGGGTGCATTTCTCTGTGACATATTTGCAATAGAAAATAAACAGTAGCTCAATGTCAAAGCTTGCTGATGGTTGCTTCTGGACTGCAACAGTAGTGTCTGACCTGAATTAAGTGAGTGCAATTAAACCACTGAACTGATGTTAAATATTGATCTGTTGCTCTCGCCTACTGTTTCCTGATGGAGAGTAAATGTGCAAGCACACAAGTGCTCTGTTCTGTTCTACTGTCACAGATGGATTACGCTACTGCAGGCTATGACCTGTGTAGTCACGTGACTCACTGAGTGCTTGGCCTTGCAAAATGGTTGTGTGTGTTTGTGTAGATATTGAGGGAGATTTTTCAATGACTGTGTGCTAGAGTATGGAATGGGAACAACAGTATGAGTACACAAAGTTTTTGAAAAACAAATATATCATTTTAATAATAAATACTCAATTAATAAATACATTAAAAGTAATTTTATAAAATTTAAATAAGTATATATAGATTTTTTTAAATTAGTGGTTTTAATATTTGATTTTAAATGTACTTTTTTTATATATATTTTTTATATTTATCTTATCCATATATATATATATATATATACTTGCTCTTTTATTTGATATAGATGCATGTGAAATAAAATATGCTTTTAAAAGGTTAGTTCACCCAAAAATGAAAATTCTGTCAGTATTTACTCACCCTCATGTTGTTTCAACCCCGTAAGACCTTCGTTCATCTTCGGGAACACAAATTAAGATATTTTTGATGAAATCTGAGAGCTGGATCACTCCTCCATACTAGTCCGTAGGCTTCCTAAGGAATTGAAACTTGCCAGCCTTGAAAAGTTATTAAAGACATCTTTAAAATAGTCCATGTGACTTCAGTGGCTCAATCTTAACTTTATCAATTGACGAGAATACTTTTTGTGTGCAAAAACAAACATAAATAACAACTTTATTTCAACTATTCACTTCCTTCTCTATGGGCCTCTAGTCAGTTAACGTAGTGTGATAGCATAGAGCTACGTCACACGTAGGCTCACTATTGGCCGACGCTGGTCATGTGTGTGATGCGTGTGACGTACAACAACAGAAGCTTACGCTATTAAACTAGTAACCTGACTCGAGGCAGAGAGAGAAGTAAATGAATAGTTAAAATAAAGTTATTTTTGTTGTTTTTTGCGCACAAAAAAAGTGTTCTCGTCGTTTGATAAACTTAAGATTGAGCCACTGTAGTCACTCGGACTATTTTAACGATGTCTTTAATAACTTTTCTAGGCCGGCAAGTTTCAATTCCTCAAGAAGCCTATGGACTAGTATGCAGGAGTGATCCAGCTCTCAGATTTAATCAAAAATATCTTAATTTGTGTTTGGAAGATGAACGAAGGTCTTACGGGGTTGGAACAACATGAGTAAATTTTCATTTTTTTGACAGAATTTTCATTTTTGGGTGAACTAACCCTTTAAGGTGCAGAAATAAAGAAATAAATGTAAAGTATATTCTTCGTTGTATAAATTAAACATTAATCCTTAATATAAAGTTAGAAAAGTAATTTAGTCAAGGTAGTGGGTATTTTTTTTTGTCTTTAGCTGTTTGCAGTGCAGCAAGAATATTAGGCTGCAGTCACTTTAAGAGCTGCATGGATCCAATATAGTGTTGTACAGTATTCAAGTATGTTATTTCTGATCTGTTTATATTCATTTAAGACATAACTAATGTGGTGGAATTTTTACTAAAAAAGAAAACTCTCATGAACTAATCGTGTTTCTTACCCTTAGAATCTGATCTTTTGGTTATCTAGCCTTATGATAAACTTTTTACCTGACTTCCCCTTTGGTTCTAATATTATGACTAACTTTTACCTGACTTCCCATTTTAGATCTAACAATATAACAAAACAAAATTCTTACTTCCTTTTTTAGATCTAAGTATATATATAGTCAATATACTTATAAGCAATTTTATTGAAATAATTAGTGTTGCGTAAGTTACACTTTAAAAATTAATCAATTACTTGCTGATTACATCTTTAATTATATTACTTTGCTTATTACTCTCTCTAAAAAGCATTGCATTACTTTTTACTTTTATAATGACTTTCTAAATCCAGTTGAACAATACAAGCATAGGCTTGTATGAAACTGTAATCCTTTCAAATAAATAATTGATAAAATTATTATTGACTTGACTTGAGCGCTTAAAATATGAAAGTTACATTAAAAACATCAATTTTTGGTCCTTTATTTATTTGTGTAGTATTGCATTTTTCACAAAACATATCGTGCCAAAGCAGCTTTACAGAAAATGCATGTCTACATTACAATTTTGACTAATTTAGACTAATCCTGATAAATGCAAATATGTGTCTTTAATATAGACCATTTTGCAAGATGTAAACAACACGGGTCCAGAAGCACTTCCTGTTTCAGTTTTTTAACTCTACATAAAAGCTGGGATAAAATACAACCAACAGAACATATAAAACTTAATCAAAAAGTTAAACAAACATCTTTAAGATGTTTTCTTTACATGTGAAATAAAGGAAACAGTTACAAACTGAAACAGGAAGTGTTTCTGGACCAGTGTTGTTTACATCTTGCAAAATGGTCTATACATATATAACTGGAAGAGTAAGTCTGAACCCCAAACATTATCAGGAATGCTAATCCAAAATTTAGGAGTCAAATGTGAAAACGCTCTCCCTCCTTTAGTGAACTTCGATATCCTAGCAAAAGTCCAGAGTTGTCTGACCTTAAAGAGCATGATGGATTGTAGGGCAATAGAAGATCAGTTAAATACACAGCGGGACCATTTAGTGCCTTATAGGTCAGTAGTAATACTTTATTATTGATACAGAACTTAATAGTTGACCAGAGTAAAGATGATAAATTGGTGTTATATGATCATATTTTCTTGACCTGGTAAGAACTCTAGCAGCTGCATTTTGGAATAACTGTAGATTGTTTATTGAGGATGCAGATCAACCACCTAGTAATGCATTACAGTAATCCAGTCTACTGGTCATGAATGCATGAAGCTTTTCTCCATCAGAAACAGATAGCATGTTACGTAGCTCAGCGATGTTTCTGAGGTGGAAGAAGGCAGTTTTTGTAACATGAAATATGATTTTCGAAAGACAAGTTGCTGTCTAAAATAACATCCAGGTCTTCTGTAGAGAATGAAGTTACTGTACGTCCTTCTAAATGTAAATAGTAAATAGAGATTCTGTGTAATGGTTTTTGGTCCAATAAGTAATAAACCTGTCTTATCGAAAATTTCATAAGAACATTTCTGGTCGTCCAATACTTTATATCATTAACACACTCTGTCAACTTAGAAATTTCATCTGGTCTTGATGAAATACTGAGTAATTCCATGTTTTCTAATTATATTACCAAGAGGCAGCATGTATATTGAAAATAGCAGAGGGCCTAACACAGATCCTTGCAGCACTCCATAATTTACATAAAGTTAATTTGGATAATTTCCTGTTTAAATAATCAAAATGCCAATGGTTTGTTAGGTATGATCTAAACCACATTAATGCCAGTCCCTGAATAGCAGTGTAATTTTGTAGTCGATCTAAAAGAGTCTATGCATGATCTTCGGTATAGTGTCAAATCTTGCACTAAGATCAAGTAAAACCTCAGTGGATCAAATGAACACAGAAGACAAAAGAATAGCTAAACACATACAGGAAGGAGATGATGGTATTGTGTAAGGGGGTGTTATATTTCAGCCATCTGATATTGTAATGTTAAGTTTGTTTTGTTTTACAGATGAAACATTTGTTCTGTTCTCTGACCCTGGAGTGTATTACTAGTAGTGTTGCAAAGGGTGTTTTCTTGTGTCGTAACAGCTTTCTTTCTGTATGCGTGCAGCTATGCAGCAGGTGTTGGATAACCTGGGCGAGTTGCCCTCCACCACTGGGGCTAAAGACATCGACCTCATTTTCCTCAAAGGCATCATGGAGAGTCCCATCGTCCGCTCGCTGGCCAAGGTAAAGTACACTCAGCTGCACAGGCTTTGCTCTAGCTAATTTGCATTGCTAACACGGTTAATCTGAATTTAATTTGTAACTCATTGATATAAACAATTATTGGATGTTAAACGCGTATCTGAAATGACTCTCATGATCGACACCTTAAGAAAGTCTTTATCGATTTTTCCGATCAAAAGTCATGCCATTAAAGGAGAACTCCGGCGAACAATGAACCTTTGGTCTAATAAAACATCGGTACATAGTCAACCGTTTTGTTTTGTTTTCATGATAATCGAATGTAAAGAGTGTTATCTCTAAAAACTGTTTAGCGTATAATGCTAGTAATGGGGGCATTGAGTAAGTAAAAAGAAATCGCTAGTTTATACCACTAACAAGGCTCAAAATAGCCCCACACTCACACAGTATTATAATGAGGCTCCATACATGCAAAACGAAGCATTGAGAACTTTGTAAGTGTACAGACCGTTTAATAAGAAGATACTTTATGAAGACAGTTCACTTCGCGTATACAGGCAGGAGCCATCCTAAAAAATAGTCTCGATAAGTCGATCCCCGAACGCCGTTCATACAGTTCAGAAGTTCGTTGAACTTCATAGAGTTCAGATCACTCAGCACGACGTTCGTGTTTTGACTTATCGAGACTATTTTTTAAGATGGCTCCTGTCTGTAAACGCGAAGTGAAATGTCTTCATAAAGTATCTTCTTATTAAACGGTCTGTATACTTACAAAGTTCTCAAAGCTTTGTTTTGTATGTATGGAGCCTCATTATATTACTGTGTGAGTGTGGGGCTATTTTGAGCCTTGTTAGTGGTATAAACTAGCGATTTTTTTTTTTTTACTTAGTCAATGCCCCCATTACTAGTGTTATACGCTAAACAGTTTTTAGAGATAAAACTCTTTACATTCGATTATCATGAAAACAAATCTCAGAGAACGGTTGACTATGTACCGATGTCTTATTAGACCAAAGGTTCATTGTTCGCCGGAGTTCTCCTTTAAGTTTGTGATAAATACACAGAGAGGAGCAACTAGATACTGTCAGATATATCAGTTCATGGATTGATGGATTGATGAGATGTTTGTGTTCAGGCTCACGAACGTTTGGAGGACGTGAAGTTGGAGGCTGTGCAGGAGAATAATGTTGAGCTTGTGACTGAGATTCTGGGTGACATCAGCGGGCTGAGCGTACGAGATGACAGTGTTGCAGAGCTCTCCAAAATCCTGCAGGAGCCCCATTTTCAGGTACAATATTTGTACCTTATCTCGTTTTATATTGTACCTTCTCGTCTTGTTTGGTCTAAACTCATACCTTCTTATCGCATCTCTTTTCTTTCATCTCCTGCTTTCTCACCTCATCTCAGATTCTCACTTCTCGTTTCATATTATCTCATGCCTTCTCTTCTTACTGCATCTCATTTTGTATCTTCTCTTCTCGTTTCACCTCATCTCATGCTTTCTTTTCTCGTACCCTCTCTTCTTGTCTCATCTCATCTCTTCTCATGACTTCTCCTCTTGTCTCATCTCATCTCGTACGCTCTCCTCTCGTTTCATCTCATGCCTTTTATTCTTCCTACCATCTGATCTAATTTCATTTCATACCTTATTTTTTCATTGAATCTTATTTCATGACTTCTCTTGTCCTTCTCCTCTCTTCTCATATCATCTTGTATGTTCTCTCGTTTCACCGTTTGATCTTGTACCTTCTCTACTTGTCTCATCTCGTACCCTCTCTTTTCGTTTTTTTTAATGTTATTTTCTCTGTATCTGTTCTTGTCTCATCTCAAACCTTGTCTTATTGTCTCTTTTTATGCTTCTTATCTCATCTCATACCTTCTCTACTCATTTCATTTAATCTCATTCCTTCTCTTCATGTCCCAATTTATCTCGTACCCTCTCCTCTCGTTTCATCTCATCTCATGCCTACCTTCTTATCTTCTCTTCTTGTCTCATCTTCAATTCGTCCCTTCGTGTTTTGTGTTGTCTCGCCTTGAACCCTCTCTTTTTTTCTCATCTTGTGCCTTTGTACCTTTTTTTTCTTCCATTTTTTTTTTAAATATATATTTTCTAATTTTTCTACAGTATTTTATTCTCACATGCTCTTTTATTTCAGTCTCTTTTGGAGGCCCATGACATGGTGGCGTCTAAGTGCTATGAAGCCCCAGCCCCTCATGAAGTGATCAATGATGCAGCAGTAAACAACGCTCTTATGCAGGCTGATGCGGTCAGGATGATTGGCATCCGCAAGAAAGCAGGAGAACCTTTGGTGTGTTTTTTTTAGAATATATACTGTAGATTTGTATATGGCCACAAGTTTAATTTACATTTTTATAAAACGTCATCCTGTCACAATTTCAGTCAATATCCAGTCCAATATGCAGATAATCCAACTAGGCAAAAGCTTCTCACTATATATATACAAAAATATGCATGTCATTACTCACGTTATCGTTTTGCCCAGGGTGTGACTTTCCGAATGGATAAGGGTGACCTGGTAATTGCCCGCATCCTTCACGGAGGGCTGATTGACAGGCAGGGGCTGCTGCACGTGGGTGACATCATAAAGGAGGTGAATGGGAAGGACGTTGGCAATAATCCCACTGAGCTCCAGGAGATGCTCAAAGAATGTAGTGGAGGAATAACGCTGAAAATACTGCCCAGCTACAGAGATGCTCCGGCGCCACCACAGGTACACACACACACAATAATATCCATAAACATTACTGTTAAAAAATGTGGGGTCGGTAAGAATTTAGTCTCTTATGAAAAGGCAACATTTATTTAATCAAAAATTATTTGAATTATTTAAAGTATTAGAATTCAAAATGTATATTTTAAATGTAATTTATCCCTGTTATTGAATCTGAATTTACAGTCTTTAGTGTTTAATGTGCTGATGATTCAACATTTATAATAATAAGTTGTGCTACTCAATATTTTTGTTTTGAATCAGTGAATGGATTCTTTGATCTTTTGAACATCATTATTTGAAATCTAAATATTTTATAACATTATAAATGTAGATTTACTGTCAATTTTGATCAATTTAATGAATTCTTGCTGAATAAAAGCGTTAATTTCTTAATCCCACTGACCCCAAACTTTTGACTGTAAATACAACTGCATATGTAGACACTGAATATGCCAAATCAAACTTGCTTTTATTCATGTTTCAGGGCATCTTCTTTCATTAAATATAAAATGCATACATGTGGAGTTATGTGCATGCCTTGTAAAATCCCATGATGCTTTGTAGTAAAAAAGATCCCTGAGAGCCCTATTAATAACACTCCACATGCTATCTGGGGCAAGACACGCACACTCGCAAAAATTCAATCTCATTACATGGCTCCTGGTATTTTCTCTGTATCGCACATCTCTCTGTGTGTTCACATAATGTATTTATGGATTTTTCTTTGAGAAAGGGAATCTGCTTATTACATAAATAATTTTGTTATTGTGATTCAATATCTGAAAGTCACTGACAATAGGTGACAAAATAAGGATTATTTTCATCTTCCATTTATGGAAATATTATATCATCCCCTTCAATCTGTTAAATCCAGGAGATCTTCCATGGAAATTTAGTCGTTATACTTTTCGGATCATGACGTCTGATCAAATAGGAGTTTGTGTGTGTAAGGTTAAGGGTAGATTATCTTTAATAAAGCAGCTTTCAAGTCATAAAAAGATTGTATATATTTAAAACATCTACCCCAGGCTTCACTGACGAGACTTAAGCCTAGTCCTGGACTAAAATGCATGTTTGAGCTGTATTAACTGAAAGTACCTTGCACTGATGTACCTTAAAATATGTCACGCCCATCTGCATCTTGTTTTGTCTCAAGATGCACACCAGTAAGGTTTTTTTTAAATGTTTTTTAACATTCAAGCAATTTTAAACCATCAGTGCTCGCGCGCTCTCTGACTATGCACCGCGCGCACATTTATAAAAAAAATTCGCCTCAAGAACAGCTGGCTAGGCAGCAACAAAAGTTATTTTTCACGGATAATATTGCTTTAACACGCAAACTGTGTCAAATTCGGTCTTATACTCTAAACATAGTCAGTTTTGTCTTTAATAAGCATAAAACGCATGCCAGTATGAACACAGAATCTGTGCACTTGCTCTTAACATGACAGCAACCATATGTGTCGGTCATTAATTTTGTCGTCAAAACAACAAAAGAGAGCTTTAAGTTAAAGGAATCAGGATTGATAGCCTATGTGCTTAATTTATTCAGGACTAAAATACTATCCAGTGTTATTTTCCATTTCATTACTTTATTCAGTTTCTGTCTATATAGTGTTAGACCTATTCAAAAACCTTTCTCTTTATTTGTCTTTATTTGTATCTTTATTGTATTGTATTGTATTGTATTTATTTGTGGAACTTTTTTTTCAAATTTTTGTGCAAATTTAATTGAACAATTTAAATCAAGCCTTGTGTTGACTGAATACAATGAGCACAATACTGACCAGAGACAACTTCACTTAGTTGAAATTAATATATATATATATTGTTCGTAAGTTTTATTTTAATTATGCTTTTCATGCTTATGCTTTTCCGATGCAGTACAACAATGAAAAATACACAAATAATTACACACCTAATAGACATCATTTGCTGTACTAATGCTAACAAGTGTGAATAAGGAATATGAAATGTAATTACTGTTATTAAAATTATTTGCCATTTTATTTTAATGTTAATATTAAGATTTTTTACCATGGAATGCAAACAACCCAGGTTCAAAGTCAATGTTTCCTGAGAGACAGAGAATGTGAAATTTTCTCAGAAGCAATTTGCTGATTGTAAAATAAACGTGAATATAAAAATCATGCTGAGTTCTGGTTAGCGTTTGGATTAATCCCACCTGTTTTATTTCTCTCAGGTGTATGTGCAGCCACATTTTGACTACAACCCCGCCAACGACAATCTAATTCCATGCAGAGAGGCGGGACTTGCTTTCAAAAGGGGTGATATCCTGCAGATTGTCAACCGAGAAGACCCAAACTGGTGGCAGGTATGATTATTGTGGTTTGACCTATTCTTACTCATTTGCATCAGTTGGGTATTGTATTTTACTGACAGTATTGTTTTGACTGACAGGCATGTCATGTGGTGGAAGGAGGTACTGGGCTGATTCCCAGCCAGTTTTTGGAAGAAAAGAGGAAAGCATTTGTTCCTAAAGACCTAGATGGAGCAGGTGATACACTTAAACACTACTGTTGCCTAAACATTAAACAAAATGACAGAAATATTCTGAAACTTCAGACAGTGTTTGAAAGAAATGCCACATACATGTATTTTGCTTTTACAGTATTAACAAGTATCTTGGTGAAAACTATGTAACATTTTTGAACGATACTCACAAATTTGTCCATGTATGTTATAACAGTGGCACAAGCCTACAGAAAATACAAACGTAGTGCCATCTAGTGGACAATTACATAACATTACAACAGTGGTTCCCTAACTGGGGATACATAAGTGAGGGGATAGAGGGGGAATATAGACAAAATGCTGCATTTTTCTTTACCCCACTTTAAAATAACATTAAACTGAGCATGAGTACATGAATAGATAGAAATACAGATATAGATAGAAAAATCTAACAGTGTAAAAACAGGAAAATGGTGGTGTAGTAAAAGGTCAAATACATGATATTCAATCAAATTAGCTCATCTTTTGCGGTCAAAACCGACTGCTTCCACACAAGCAGCGTGCATACAGGTAGCAAAAATGTAAAAGTAGGGTTTTAGCACTTACTAGCTTGAAGAACAAATATAGACAAAGTTTGCATATAATATAATATACGAGGAAGAAAGGGTTTTTCCTAAATATCCACACAATTGCAAATGTGACATTGATTTATAGGCCTTTAACAGTTCAACAAACAAAAAGATAATATTAAGTGATGTACATTTTAGACACTGTATTGTCAATATTGAGTTCTCTATTTCGCAATGAAATAATAGTTCCAACGCAAGCCACAGCAGAACTGATATGATTCTCCAAGCAACACACAGTGGTTTTAAACGAATCGGGAGAGTCAATGATTCAATGACCCATTCATAAATATAGCCATTTTCTTCAATACTGAATGAATGAATAACTCAGTGACTCACTCATTAAGACAGTTAATTGCTGCCACCTACTGGCGGATTTAGTTTGATATTTAAGGGTATGTTTACACGACAACGATATGCTTAAAACTGAAAAGTTTTCCTTTGAGTTTTCCGCGGACAGACACCATTGTCAAAACGATCCAGTTCATATGGATCCGCGAAAACTAATAGAAATGCTGTATTCTGCCAGGCCAATAGATGGCGATGAAACACTATAGATTGAACACTGAATATGCATTATCGTTTTCAAAGATTTGCGTTTTTGTTGTTTACATGAAGACCATTTTCAAAAACTTGCACTTTCACATCTGCTTTCAATAGTTTGCATTTTCAGGCCCCCAAAACGCCTCTGTTGTGTAAATGAACGTAAACAGCCCCTAAAAGTATAACTTAGTTTTTACCATCATTCCATATTTCTCAGTTGAACTTTTTAATTTAAAACATTATCTCATTACATTATTTATGCCGATTCTAATTGCATTAATGTCAGCACTGAGCAGCATTAAACAATTTGTAAATACATCTAGATGCAGCTTTTACCACTCTTCAAAGATGGATTTTATTGATGATTTATTTGATAGAAATTATTTGTTAAGTTTAATTTATTGATTTATTTATCACATTGATAATTAAATAAATGGGATTTTAAGAATTTGACATAAAACATAAGACATACTTTTAATAGGGTTTGACAAACTTTGAGACATACTTTTAAAAGGGTTAGAAAAACTTTGTATTTATAAAGATACAAATGCATCTGGAAATCAGTTTAAGAGAGCAAATATTGTCCCTTAATAGAAAAGTTGAATGCCTCATGGGGTACACCACTCTAAAATGTTTGTCTAAATATCCTCTTTTTGTCTTTTTTTTTTTAGGAATCCTATGTGGAACAATTACTGGTAAAAAGAAGAAGAAGATGATGTACCTCACTGCCAAAAATGCAGGTAAACAGAAGGAAAAGAATGAAAGAAATCAGAAAGAGCTTTATCTTGACAGAATAAAATTAAATTAATTAAATTAAATAAAATTAGAGATTAGAGAACAAACATCTCAAGCACAAAAAAGAATGTATATTAAAATAAATTGAATATATATATATTAAAAATATATATTTAATGATAATATTCTGAAATATATATTAAAAATAAAATACTGAATTATTTATAAATAAGTACAATATGACCCCAGTTTAATATAATTTCAAAATATGCCTCTTCTTGCTTTTGGACTTAAAATATGGGCGCATCCTTTATTCTAATAAATCTGGTTGATCCATTATGTTTCCTCTCCTGTATGGTTTTGCTGCAGAGTTTGATCGTCACGAGCTTCAGATCTATGAGGAAGTAGCACATATGCCACCATTTCAAAGGAAAACCCTCATTCTGATTGGAGCACAAGGAGTGGGGCGACGTAGCCTGAAAAACAGACTAGTTGTACTACATCCCACCCGTTTTGGTACCACTGTACCGCGTGAGTGGCTAAGGAATAATCCTACCTAGAAAATATAAATAAAACTTTCAAATATCAATGCATTTTCTTGGCTATATGATTAGCCATTTCTTTGTTCTGTCTCAATATCTCCAGATACGTCTCGACGGCCTCGCGATGACGAGCGAGATGGTCAGTCCTATAGATTTGTATCACGTCTAGAGATGGAGAACGACATCAAGGCGGGCCGGTACCTGGAACACGGAGAGTACGACGGCAACCTCTACGGTACTAAAATCGACTCCATCCATGAGGTGGTGAACACAGGCCGTACATGTATCCTGGACGTCAATCCTCAGGCGAGTGTCTTGACATTCTTCTCTCTCAACAGCTCTCAAAATCAGAGAGGCTCACAGATATTATATTATGTCATTTAGGCTAATTCACATTAGTGAATATATATACTGTAACTTTTTCCCACATTGATGATCACAATTCAGCATATTCAAATGATTTCTGAAGGATTATGTGACACTGAAGACTGGAGTTATGACTGCTGAAAATTCAGCTTTGCAACACACACACACACACGTAAATGTTTCCACTTACATGGGCTGTAGACATTATGCCTCATTATGGCTACCATGTGGAGGTCACATGAGCTTGACAGTTAAATGAGTTAATCAACGACATACCGCAAGCTCTTAGTAAACATACCACAAGCTCTTTCCAGGGAGACTGACCTTGTTATGTTGCATATTTGTCAACCATCACATAAACACAGGTTCTACAGTTTAGGAAGTAGAGAGGCTCATGCTGTTGTTTCAGCTGTTTAGGAAGACTTATTACTGCCAGCAATACATAAACATTTATTACTTTGTGCACCTTTCATCATGAGTTTTAAAAACATAATAATTATAATAATTTATTGAGGCTTTGGGTATAAACCATTGTGTAACCCTTGATATGCACAGATATGGCTGTTTTATCTTTGTATTCTGATTATTTTTATCATCTGTCCTCAGGCTCTGAAGGTGTTAAAAACGGCAGAGTTCATGCCATATGTTGTGTTCATCGCAGCTCCAGAGTTTGATACACTGAAGGCCATGCACAAAGCTGTGGTTGATGCTGGACTCACCTCTAAACAACTCACAGTGAGTTCTGTTCATCTGGGTCCTTGGAAATCTTATCTAGTTCTCAAGATGACCTACTCGCACTATATTTGAGTTTTCGGGTTATGGGTTAGTTAAGCTTCACAAATTATAGCATGATGGCAGCGCATACAGATTGGTATTTCCTGTTTGGTAAGATATGCTACTTACCTACTTCTATATTTATGACAGTGGTAATACCTCAGGTTTCTTCTTCCTCATGCAATATGCTATCTATGCTGTAGTTCTAAACATGACAGTTTTAACTGCTTGTAAGTGATTCTGAGCACATTTTTGAATTGTTCTTCCATTTAAACATAGATGGTCATCATCTTTGAATGCTGTGCTACAATGCAGATATAAATTGCTTTTTAATCAGATGGAGATGTTCATGGGATATATGTTATTCAAAGGTTCGGCGTGAGTCAAGATTTGTTTTTAAATAAATCAATAAGTTTATTAAGCAAGGAATGCAAGGAAAAAATACAGATATGACACTTCCAGTATCCTTTGTCGGCACATGCAATTGTGGGGCATGTTCTGGGTATCATATTTCAACAAGAACACATCAGAAAATGTTGTAATGCAGGATTTCGTTTAATAATGGATTTATCTATAACTCTACGTTCCCCATTTTTTTTGAGAACTTGTGAAAAAAATAAAGATATGACTCCTCCCAGTATATATCTGTTTGCAACTGAGAATTAATGTTATGTAATTTATATTCTTTATAAATTATCCATTACTCCAGTCATATATTACTGTAGTAATAGATAACTTCTAATAAAGATCAGAAATTACATACATACCACATAGTTTACACCATTTACAGAGGCAGAAAAGATATTTTTTACAGGATTATATATATATATATATATATATATATGAAGAGTTCAGATGCAAAATCCTCTAAATGCCATTTGAAATTTTCTTCTTTAATGATAATTTTTATCAAACTTGTATATTTAAGTTCAGTAATTTCACTTAAATGGCAATGATAATTACCTATTAATTGTTATTTAGGTGAAATTACTGAACTTAAATATACAATACAAAACATACAAATATACAAAACATCATTAAAGAAGAAAATTTCAAATGGCATTTAGAGGCTTTTGCATCTGAACTCTTCATATATATATAAATATATATATATATATATATATAATGTATAATATATATATATATATATATATATATATATATATATATATATATATGCACTGTTAAATGACAAATGCTGCCTGATCAACAGGCTCATAATTCCCATAAAACTGTTTCTTTAAAGGAGTAGTTCACTTTTGAATAAAGTTTGCTGATAATTTACTCACCCCCATGTCATCCAAAATATATCCATTTCATTCTTTCTTCAGTCGAAAAGAAATTAAGGTTTTTGATGAAGAAAACATTCCAGGATTTTTCTCCATATAATGGACTTCAATGGGAACCAAATGGTTCAAGGTCCAAAAGACAGTTTCAGTGCAAATTGTTCAAAGGGCTTTAAACGACCATTTGAGCTTTTAAACCTTAAACTTTGTTATTTTTGTTTTTTAAATGAGTGATCGTTTCGCTTGATAGGACACTTATTCATCGTCTGAAATCGTTTAAAGCCATTTGAACAGTTTGCAGTTTGCACTGAAACTGCCTTTTGGACATTGAACAGTTTGGTTCCCATTGAAGTCCATTATATGGAGAAAATCCTGGAATGTTTTCATCAAAACCCTTAATTTCTTTTCGACTGAAGAAAGAAAGACATGGACATCTTGGATGACATGGGGGTGAGTAAATTATCAGCAAACGTTTTTTTAAAAGTGAACTACTCTTTTAAGAAATATGGCCAAAAGCACAGAGAGGGGGAGGGGTTAACAACATCCAACATTTTTAAGGTGGACCGAATAGTTTGACGAATAAGGAGCTGGCGAAAAATGAGCTGGAGTCAGCCTTGTAAAAAACGAATGATTGTTTTACGCGTTGCTCATCATGATAATCTTCACTAATGATCACAACTTAAATTGATTTTTGAAGCGTAAATACAATCGGCAGAAGTCAAAAGCTAAATGTAGGCTATAAATCAGTGGTGCTCAAACTCTCCTGCAAGGACCCCCTGATATGTTTCTGTTTAACCCTGAAATGGCGCACCTGATTCAATTAATTAAAGGCTTAACGAGTCGTTATTAGAGTAGGAAGTAGGAATTAGTCAATTAACATATTAGTCAACTACTCATTAAGCCTTTAATTAATTGAATCATGTGTGCCATTTCAGCGTTAAAACAGAAACATGGCCTGTCAAGGGGTCCCTGCAGGAGAGGTTGAGAACACCTCCTATAAAGAAACTACACTACAGTCAATGGACAATTTGACTATTTCTGTCTTTAAAAACTTTTTCCCTGAAAGTTCGAGTTATAATAGTCTACAAGAGCATGATTATAAACACAATGAGGCTGTGAAAGCAGACTAGTGAGTAGATGAGGTTACTCGTTCGTGTGATGACATTTTATGTCCCTGAAAACCTCTTTAGTCCGATTTAGCCACTTGTTAGCAACCGCCTTTTACAAGACAAATAAAAGTTATTTTAAACAAATAAAAATGTATTTTATATCACAGAATAAAACATAAAAATATCTTGAGCTTGTATTTACGAAAGAGCTAATTTCAAGCATTTAACCAGTGTTGTTTTAAAGTTTAAAGTGAATATTGTAAATATACCATTCTTATCCACTTTAAAGGGTTAGTTCACCCCAAAATGAAAATTCTGTCAGTAATTACTCACCCTCATGTTGTTCAGACCCCGTAAGACTTTCGTTCATCTTCAGAAATCAACGATATTTTGGATTAAATCCGAGAGCTGGATCACTCCTCCATAGGCTTCTTAAGGGATCGAAGAAAAATTAAGAAAAATCCAGAAAAATTAAAGACATTGTTAAAATAGTCCGAGTGACTACAGTGGCTCAATCTTAAGTTTATCAAGCGACGGGAATACTTTTTGAGCACAAAAAACAAACAAAAATAACGACTTTATTCAACTATGCATTTTCTTCCCTGTTGGCCTCGAGATTAATGCTGTGTTAATGTGCTATGGTAATTATGGTAAATACCAAAAGCCAACGTGAAAAATGCACATGAACACCCCCTCATGTGGTATTTTCCACTGGGCAACTCGTAGAATATTTTGATGGACGAGTTGCCGAGATGAGATAACCTTTGATCTTTTCAAAATGGCGGAGAGCACCGTGAGAGTCGTGAATGGTAAAATATATACTATTCGTGAGCTAGAAAATATAGGCTACAGCATATTATTTACCTTTTGAGTTTTGATAAATCATTTTCTTGCTGTTGTAGATGACTTAAGCAATCTAAAATAGTTTTAGCTAAATAACAGGTCTGGATCTCCATCTTTTTACCACATTACGACAACAAAAGCACTTGAACGCAACACACTGGTAAATACCAGTTCACAAGTGGAAAATGTCCTATTTTCCATAGCATGGAACGCAGCATAAGTACTGGAACTGCACAACGGTTCTGTGTTGTATGCAAGCGTGCAGCACAAGCCCTCAAAATTGAAGCCAAAATGTCTCGAATGACCCCCAGTGACCGGTCCTTGTATAGGTCATAAACCCCGCCTCCCCATGTTATTCAACGGGACGTGAGACCAACTAAACAATTAAATTACACTTCACATATCCTCTTTCCAAAGATAGTTTCTGCCATTTCCTGTAGTTTCCATCAAGTTGATGTAATTTCAAGAGTTTGTTTTTAAAATAAGTTTGTTTTTAGTTAGTTATTTGATGCCATAAAAACGGTGCTGTGACATCATGATTGACAGGTTCTCTGTGCGAAGTAGTCACTGAAGCACCAACAGACTTTTTTTCATAATGTTGACTATGTGGTTAGTAGTTGTATTTACCTTATTTTAACGAGGTATTGCAATCAGCAGACACCATTGGAGAGGAACGGAGCAGACAAAGGCCACATAAGAGGCCAGGGGGGAGTGTTCTTGCTATTGATTCTGTGAGACTGAGGACGCGGCCTTGATTTCGTGGCTTTAATTCCTGCTCAAGTCACGACTGCGCATGTCTGGTCCCGAAAACGCAAGTGCGCAGGCCTCAGTTCTCTCCTATGGAAAAGAGCGAAGGAGCGTCGTCCATCTTTTTTTACAGTCTATGGTTGTACGGCAAACGCAGGATCACTATTGGCCGAAGCTGGTGATGTGTGTGACGTGCAACCTAGATCAGTTGCGCTGTTTCACTACTTGAAATGCCAACAGAGAAGGAAATGAACTTCTTTGTATTCTGGTTCAAATAAATATAGTGCGTCGAAATCCTTAGACATGTTTGTGAAGATTGTTTTGTTTACAGCGTTTGTCTCCCTCAGACAGTAAACGAAGCTCGGGCGCACCAAAAAACACGTCAGCGGCGCTGAACGAGGATTGACAACAGAACCGGAAGAGAATACATTGCTGAATAAAGTAGTTTTTGTTATTTTTGGACCAAAATGTATTTTCGATGCTTCAAAACATATACCCACTGATGTCACATCAGCGACTACTTTGACAATGTCTTTATTTCTTGTCTGGACAAGGACCGTATACCGTACATACATTTTCATTAGAGGGACAGAAACCTCTCGGACTAAATCTAAAATATCTTAAACTGTGTTCTGAAGATTAACGGAGGTCTTACGGGCTTTTCCGAAAGTGACAATATTCAAACTAAGTTTGCTCTGCCCCTAAGTTTTACAAATGAACTTCATGAATATCTGGATAATCTGTGTCAACGTCAGAAGTTCTCCCTTAACTCAAGTAATAATTCTGTTCTCTCGTTCTCACAGGATGTGGACCTGAAGAAAACCGTAGATGAAAGCGCTCGTATCCTGCGGGCGTACAGACACTACTTTGACCTCATCATTGTCAATGACAACCTAGACTGTGCGTTTGAGAAACTGCAGTCAGCTGTGGACCAACTCTGCTCTGAACCGCAGTGGGTTCCAGTGAGCTGGGTTTACTGAGGGCACTTCTAGAAGCTCACCATACAAGCATGTTTGAGTGCGTGTGTGTGTACAGTATGTGTATGATTGGTATTCAAGGTGACTGATATGGGGCAGAGTGAAGTTACGTGTTTGGAATGACCAACGCAAAAGCACCGTTAGCCCCAACCTTAATGCAATGTTTTTTTCTACTCAAAACTGAAAGGGAAGAGTACTTATTTATTTTAGTATTTCTATGTTTTTAATGAAAATCTTTCTATTTGTAACTTTGGAGTTGGAAGAAAAACGAGGAAAACTAAAACCGGCCTTGGCGAATCAGAGGCCATATTTTTTAATTTATTATTGTTATTTTTACATGTGTTCCTCCTTCATTTTGTAGTTCCTGAACCTACTGTGATGTTTTGATTTATACTCAAATGACGGACTAACCTGAGTGTAGCAGGCCAAGGGCTTACTATATGTGGAACATTTTAGATCCTAAAACCATGAACCATAAAACTGTTTACATAGACCCTGATCTCTTAACCATTTGTTCGCTTGTCCTCATATCTAAGAGATGTATTGAATCTTTTATGCAAAAGTCCATATCAATATGTGCAGTTTGTTTTATTTATAGTGTGTTTTGTACAATTTCATTCATCAATTTTGTCTTGTAAAACATTGGGCTGCACATTGTGTCTGTGTCTTATTACGATCCTGTCATTTTCTTTAAAGTTTTTTAATTTAAGGAACCGAACAAATAGGCCTGTTGATTTTCATCTGTTTCATGTTTTTTTTTTCTTTCTCATCAGCTTTCCAGAATGTCAAAAAATCTCTGCCAAATGTATTTTTGTCTCAACAACAAGGCTGACATTAAACATGCTGACCATTGTTACTCTTTATTTCTCTTTTCCGTTTATTAATAGCAAAAGTGTATGATACAATAAAATAGAAGCTTTTTGGAGAAAAATATATGCATGTGCTCTTTATCTGTAGAGATACATAATGCCAAAAATATTTACAGGAATAAAAAAAAAGTTTTTTACAAAATGTATTATTAATATTATAAAAGATCTGATAAACTAACAAAAATAAAGACTAAATTAAACAAAGGAAAAACTATTTCAGAGATAACTGTTAAGATAAAATAAAATAATATAAAGGTTTTTTGAATGAGTCTTACCCAATTTCACTTTAAATAAATGTAAATAAATTTTAAACATGCAATGTGGTTGTTTTACTTTAAATAAATGAAAAGTGCAAATAGTTATAATGTAAGTGCTTATATATAATGAAAAGTGTTTGATTAAAGGTGCATTGTTGGAGATATATTTGTTTTGGATTATTATTATGGAATTAATAAAGTGGGTTGATGTAAGAAAGCAAATGTCTTCATTAAAACTGAAGTGTGTAATCTCTGTATTACAAATATGTCTTAAGTAATCAGGAAAAACACACACTTCACAAATTAATAGGCCATTTAAGCCATCAGAAAAAGCACTAACAATGTCATGCATTACTGAGGGAAGCAAGGCCATGGATGGCAATGCACAGTACAATAGGAAGGAATCCCTCTCCGCATGTAATTTCTGAGGTTAGTGTGTCATTCTCTTTCCTTAGTAAAACATTACATGACTTAAAAAGTGCCTCCACTCTGTGGAATTCATCGTCACTTTGTAGGAAAACAGGGATGGCGTCCTTGCAGTTAGAAGTCAGATGAATTACCTTGGTAAACAGAAAAAACTAAATTAAATTAAACATTTTAATTAGATAAATAAAAAATCCTAAAACATTAATGTAGAAACTCACTAAATCCTGTAGACTTTTGAGACTTTCAGAAGTGCAGAACGGTTCTAGAAGATTCAGTCCAGCATCAGTCAGCTCTGAGTGAAAAATTAAGAGTATGAGTGAAAACAGAAAGAGTCTATGTACACAAGATCTCTCTTGAGTTTAGGTGTCCAAACCTTCAAGAGCACTGATAAGCATTTGAATGGCATGCATAGGCTCCATGCTCTGCTTGCTTGCTTTTGTTGAGCATCCGTTCTGATGGGATACCACCGTGTGATGACCATTCTGTTCTTCTGGTTTGCGGCTTGATCCATTTAACTCAGATGTCAAGGAAATATCACTGTGATTGGCCGTTGATATCCGACATCCATTATAACTGGACAATGGCGTTGATGTGGAAAGTCCATTCTTGTCAAGCGGTTCACACTTTAGTAAATCTAAAAACGCACCAATAATCTGGCTCTGATTTTCAGACAGCTCGCTGGTTAGGAAGCATGGAGTTTCATCACTGCTCAACATATCACCCTGAAAGACATACAGACCATGAGATAAGACAAAAATAAATAGAAGTTTTAAAAAAATGGTGTCTGACCTAAAGGATTATTAGAAACACCATACTAATACTGTGTTTGACCCCTTTCGCCTTCAGAACTGCCTTAATTCTACGTGGCATTGATTCAACAAGGTGCTGAAAGCATTCTTTAGAAATATTGGCACATATTGATAGGATAGCATCTTGCAGTTGATGGAGATTTGTGGGATGCACATCCAGGGCACGAAGCTCCCGTTCCACCACATCCCAAAGATGATCTATTGAGATCTTGTGCAGACTGTTGGGGCCATTTTAGTACAGCAAACTCATTGTCATGTTCAAAAAAACAATTTGAAATGATTTGAGCTTTGTGGCATTATCCTGCTGGAAGTAGCCATTAGAGGATGGGTACATGGTGGCCATAAAGGGATGGACATGGTCAGAAACGATGCTCAGGTAGGCCATGGCATTTAAAAAATGCCCAATTGGCACTGAGGGGCCAAAAGTGTGCCAAGAAAACATCCCCCACACCATTATACCACCACCACCAGTCTGAACAGTGGTAACAAGGCATGATGGATCCATGTTCTCATTCTGTTTACGCCAAATTCTGACTCTACCATCTGAATGTCTCAACAGAAATCGAGACTCATCAGACCAGGCAACATTTTTCCAGTCTTCAACTGTCCAAATTTAGTGAGCTCTTGCAAATTGTAGCCTTTTTTTCCTATTTGTCTGGCCCGCCTGGCACCAACAACCATGCCACGCTCAAAATTGCTTAAATGACCCTTCTTTCCCATTCTGCATTTCAGTTAGGAGTTCAGGAGATTGTCTTGACTCGAACCACACCCCTAAATGCATTGAAGCAACTGCCATGTGATTGGTTGATTAGATAATTGCATTAATGAGAACAAGAACAGGTGTTCCTAATAATCCTTATATATAATAATAATAATAATATATATATATATATATATATATATTATATATCATATATATCAGATGCAAAAGCCTCTAAATGCCATTTGAAATTTTCTTCTTTAATGATGATTTTTATCAAACTTGTATATTTAAGTTCAGTAATTTCACTTAACTTAACTTTTAAATTTAGTTAACTATCATTGCCATTTAAGTGAAATCACTGAACTTAAATCTACAAGCTTGATAACAATGATCATTCCAGAAGAAAATTTCAAAAGGCACTTAGAGGCTTTTGCATCTGAACTCTTCATATATATATATATATATATATATTTATAAGCGTATATGGTATAAATTGTTTTTCTCCTCTGAAAAATGTATCCATAATATTGTGTAGTATCCCTAATATATATATATATATATATATATATATATATATATGGGATATATAGGGGATATATATATATATAGATATATAGGGGATATATGTAGTATCCCTAATATATATATATATATATACAGTGTTGTGCAAGTTACTTCCAAACTGTAATACATTAGGTATTACTTGTTACTGTTATTTAAAAGTAATTCATTACCTTACAATATTACTGTCCCAGAATTGTAATGCGTTACATTACTCATGTATTACTTTTGAGTTACTTTCACCAAAATAACTAAGTAGAACTTAACTTTTGGGCTGTACCGATATGCAATATGAAACCGAAATCGTGATTCGCGATTCGCCACACGACTCAGATCCACGAACCTTCAGAATCGCGACACACCTCTTCCAACTCCAGCGTTATTCTCCTTACCGTCCATATCCAATGCTGCCTTATCTTTAAATTAGGCTATTAGTATAATTTGAAGTTAACATTATAAAATACGTAGACCTACGACACAAAACTAGTTGAGGATAAATTATTTAAAATTGGGGAAGTCCAGCATTATGGACATGACATTTGCAGTCAAAACTTGAAATATAAATTCTCAGAAAACACATATATTGAAACGTGTAGGCTACTTCCTCAAAGGACTCCAGACATTAGACAAATATCAGTCTATGTTTTATTTTTAATATTAGGGAAAAGACACACATTCATGCGTGACAAAAAAAAAATAGGAGGCAAAATATGTTTTTTTGTAATTCTGTTAATTACACCGTGCAAATCGTATGAGGAAGGGTTGGCTCTCCAGTCTCCATAGAACTTAAAATATTCATTTTATTTTAGTTTTCGTGTTCGCATTTATGAGGAAAAAACAATGTTACAGACACGACCGCTCTGAACTGGCACTAAAAGACTGCTTTAAAACGTTCACATAGTCTGTTGCCTTTAAGAAGTAAAAGCAGACAATACACTGTAATACAACTGTAATACAAGCCTCACTGAACATGTAACGAGTAAAATATTACTGAAAATTGATTAGTAATGCCTTACACTACTGCGTTACAGCAAAAAGTAATATGTTACTGTAATGTATTACTTTTGTAATGCGTTACTCCCAACACTGTATATATATATAGGGGATTAGTATCCCTAATACACTGTATACTAATACATATAATATATATATTTTTTCAATTTTGTCTTGTACAACATTGGGCTGCATATTGTGTCTGTGTCTTATGATCCTGTCATTTTCTTTAAAGTTTTTTCTTTTAAGGAACCGAACAAATAGGCCTGTTGATTTTCAGCTGTTTCATGTTTTTTTTTCTTTCTCGTCAGCATTCCAGAATGTCATAAACTCTCTTGTCTCTGTGTCAACAAGACCTCAACAACAAGGCTGAGAATAAACATGCTGACCATTGTTACCCTTTATTTATCTTTAGCAAATGTCTTCACAAAGGAACATTAAAACTAAAGTGTGTAATCTCTGTATTACTAATATGTCTTAAGTAATCAGGAAAAACATTCACACTTTACACATTATTAGGCCATTTACGCCATCAGAAAAAGCACTAACAATGTCATGCATCATTGAGGGAAGCAAAATATATATTTATATTTAGGGTATAGGGTATACATTTTTTTCTCCTCTGAAAAATGTATCCCTAATATAATAAATATATAATATAATATAATATAATATAATATAATATAATATAATATAATATAATATAATATAATATAATATAATATAATATAATATAATATAATATAATATAATATAATAATATAAAACTACAAATTTAATATAGAGAAATAAATAGCATGTCCTGATTTTGCCGAGTTAGACGTGTTCCTGGATCAACATATTTTGTTGATCCTGGAACAACATTCCAGTCCTAAAATCTTATCCTAACCATCCCTACCCATGAACCTAAACCTACCCATAAGTTATCCCTAAAATTAGAGGGAAATGATAGCTGGATAACACTGATATATAAGCACCTAACCCTAAACTTAAAATCATACTAGGGGACAGAAAGTTCCCTTAAATAAATAATCCCCTATTTACATTTTTTTTTTTTTACAATATAATTGTGCAATATGAGTACTGTCACAATCCCTGTACAGTTTTGTATTTTGTAGGACTTTTATGTTGAGGTATAGTCTTGGTTCCCCATCGTTTCTGTGTTCACTTCCTGTGTTTTCCTTTTTTGTCACCATAGCTACCCTCATTAATTCCCATGACATATCACTAACACCTGTCCCTCATCAGCCCTGTCTTTTTAAACCGCAGTACTTCAATTGCTGTTTGTTGGTTGCTATTGCTGTTTCGTGTTCATGTCCTGAGTTTCTTTGTCTGCCCTGGATTATTGTTAGAATTATTAAAGTAGTGCTTGAATGTGGATTCTCTTTCTGCTTCATCCCTACCTATTAATTACAAGTACAAGATTAGCAAGAATTTTTCCTTTCACTCACTCTACCCACCAAAGCTGACAAGACAGATCGGTCCAACAGAATTTTCCTCAACAGGAGCAGGATGGAGGAACGGCTTTCAGTAGACAAGTCATCCAGCTCACAAAAGTTAGTCTGAACATCTGCGAGTGCTGCGAGGAGACCAAAAATATTTATCTTTAAGCAAAAAAGTAATGGTCTCATTATGGCATTATCCTAATAACCACACAGGAACCTTAAAAAGGGAAACAGGAATAAATGGCAGATTCTACTTCTGCTTCTGCACACATATTTGCACAGCACACAAAGGAACTGAAACACCCACCATTTTTCAGGGTATGAAGTGGGAAACCTTCTTGGATCAGTGGCTGTTGACCATCCACCTCTGAAAAAAGCGATGAGTGATTGCAGGAAGTGTCATCTGCTTCTAGTCCACGAGACGTAAGACACAAATCTAAACACACAAAAATCAAAGGTCCAAATAAATGTACAGCACACCTGCTTTACTGCTTTTAAAAGATTTTTTATGGGAATGTACATCACATAATATTCCATATTTAAATAATTAACACCGAAGACAAAAACAAAAAAAAGGTGCGAGGCCTGGTGGAGTTAGTCTGTTGAAACTTGCGGTTATAGTAATGAGTGTGATATTTTCGAAACACGCTTGAAATCACAAACACATTCGTCCAGCTGACCAAATTTTTGAAGGATGGGGCTTCATGGAGACTGGAACTAAAAAGAGCGTTACTGACAGACTGGAAAGAAAGGTGGTGCAACTGTAACAGACATCAGACTATTGCCATTCCCTCAAAAACTACATCTCCCATAACTCACTGCCCGGTGTCTCATTATCTTGTTTAGCTCACCCCATATAAGCTTGGTTTTCTCATTCATTATCGGTGAAGTCTTGTTTAGTGTTACATTGCAATGCTGAGCATTCTCCCTGGTTTCACGTCTCTTGGTTTTGGATTTCTTGCCTGTTCTGTGGATTACTCTTTTGCCCGTGTTCCCTGCCTTGTTGTGTTTGTTTGTATGGACTGCCGGCCTGTGTTCTTAAATTCAACCTTCTTGTCGCAGAGCAGTTTGCAACAGCAACATTGTAAAATATGTGAAAAACATTTTTTAAACGTTTTAAGCATGAAACCCTGTTTTAGACCCCAAAAACTAAAATAATTTGAAAAAATAATAGGTCCTCTTTAAACAATCAATAATAGGCCCTCTTTAAGCAATGAAAATAATTTATATACAAAAATAATAATACATTTAAATAATCAATTTACATAAATGAATTGAAAAATAATTAATACATTTAATAATAATAATAATAATAAAAGAATTGTAGCCTTCTCCAGCCACATAAAGTAAATTTCACTGACCAAAATAGCCGTCACTTTCGATGGTCATTTCAGTGACACTGTAAGCAATCACAGTGTCCGGTGGGATGTCTAATGTAGTCTCAGAGCCATACTGTAGTTTAGCGCTGCTTTCCATGCACATCTGAAACCATAGAATCACTCAGATAAGGACATTTATTAAAGCGATAGTTCACCAAAAAATGAAAATTCAGTCAGTATTTACTCACCCTCATGTTGTTCCAACCCCGTAAGATCTTCGTTCATCTTCGGAACACGAATTAAGATATTTTTGATGCAATCTGAGAGCTGGATCACTCCTCCATACTATTCCATAGGCTTCCTGAGGGATTGAAACTTGCCGGCCTCGAAAAGTTATTAAAGACATTGTTAAAATAGTCCGAGTGACTACAGTGGCTCAATCTTAAGTTTATCAAGAAGCGACGAGAATACTTTTTGTGAGCAAAACAAACATAAATAATGCGCACAAAAATTGTTCTCGTCATTTGATAAACTTAAGATTGAGCCACTGTAGTCACTTGGACTATTTTAACGATGTCTTTAATAACTTAAAGAGGCCGGCAAGTTTCAATCCCTCAAAAAGCCTATGGACTAGTACTGTATGCAGGAGTGATATGATCCAGCTCTCAGATTTCATCAAAAATATCTTAATTTGTGTTCCAAAGATGAACGAAGGTCTTACGGGGTTGGATAACATGAGGGTGAGTAAATACTGACTGAATTTTCATTTTTGGGTGAACTATCCCTTTAAAGCAATGAGCTAATCTTAAGCCCATCACTGTTCAATCCCTGAACACACTTATTACAAACCTCAAAACAATGTCCTCCAAACATAGAATTGCAGCCACCCTTCCCCAGTTCGGTACAAAAAATCGAGCCGTTGCAGGTGGTGAAGATTCGCTCTATAAGGAGGGTAAAACCCTTGTTCCTTTTTAGAGACTGCTGGATCAAAGAGTGTGTGAGGTCCAATTTCCTGCAGGAGTCATCAAGGTTAAATCAAAAGGTGAAGAATGGATTTCAAATTCCATCAGTTTATTTTATATGTATTAAAGGTATTGTAGGGAGGAATTTTATAAAAAAAAACTTTTTTCCAAATTTGTTTAAACTTTCTGTATATATCAATGCATAATGAAAAGTGTAAGTACTCTGAAAAAGAAAGTATAATTAAAGCTGCAAGCAGCGATGGGCGGGCCCTCGCACCTGTAGCACGTCGCGGTCTGAGGCGGCCGCGTTGCATTTTCTGCAGCTCAGCCAGTGCGGCTGTGCATTTGCTACGCTGCTTCGTTAAAGGTCACTTCCTGTTGCCACTAGGTGGCGCTATGACTGTGGGTGAATGTCGGCATGTAGATTTGTTCAGGGCGGGACTCTTGTTAAACGTGTAAAATTTCGTGCAGATCTGGGCATTTACAGCCAAGTTACTACAACTTCCTGTTTCCTGGCGAATCTTCGAATCCACGGACACGCCCATCGACGAAAACGCGCAGATAGCCCAACTTTACATCGTCAATGCCTTTAGAAGGCACAGCAGAAATTTGAAGTCGATCCAACTAAATCCCTAAGAGGAGTTAGTTAAAGTACATAATGAGTAAATCATCCAAAAATGGCGGTAAAATTCAAAATGGCCGACTTCCTGTTGAGTTTAGGGCATCGCTCCAAGAGACTTTTCTGTGCGTCTGGACATGATAGATGTACCACAGAAATTTCGTACATGCCGGTCAAACATGCGGCGGGGGCTGCTTCGTTAAAGGTCACTTCCTGTTGCCAGCAGGTGGCGCTATGACTGTGGGTGAATGTCGGCATGAATCATCGACGCCACGGACATGCCCATCGATGAAAACGCGCAGAGAGCACAACATTACATCGTCAATGCCTTTAGAAGGCACAGCAGAAATTTGAAGTCGATCCGACTAAATCCCTAGGAGGAGTTCGTTAAAATACGGAGTGTGTAAATCGTCCGAAAATGGGCGTTAAATTCAAAATGGCCGACTTCCTGTTGAGTTAAGGGTATGGGTTCTTGAGGCTTTTTTGTGCGTCTTGATATGATACACGTCCCCACCAAATTTCGTGCTTGTAGGTTGAACGTGGACGAGGGGCTAATTTTTTGCAATTTTCTAGGTGGCGCTAGGGAGCCATTTTGCCAGTCCATCCGCGAAACCCACAAAATACGAAATTTTTCAACAGTCCTGACATGCGAACCAAATTTGGTGAGTTTTTGAGCATGTTGCGGCCCCGAAAATGGCGCTTACTTTGCAGAAAAAATAAATAAATAAAATAAATAAATAACCCTGACAGTTTCAATAGGGTCCTCGCACTGTTAGTGCTCGGGCCCTAAAAATCGAGTGTCTGTAGACCTCTCACGACTGTTATAAAGTAACACCAGGGAGTTTTTGCTCTCGTGGGTCCCCCTACAGTTGGGACACAGTATTGTCCTCTACTACTGTCGTAGCCCTTCACTGTAGGAGGATGTCACATGCAGCTGTTCTGGTTGCGTCGCGTGTGAAATGTCTTAATCCCAGGTACAGTGGCATATATTTCAGCATGTTATGTGAATATAATTTCATGGGTTTGATTTTTATTTCTAACGACAAATGATCACGATGCTCACGTTTACAAGCCAGCATCATTATAGTAGCCTAGTCTATTGGTTACCATTTTACTGAATCTATATGATGCTACAATGCAATGTTTGAGGTGTAGATAATAACCATATCATCAATATCATAATATCAAGCTATCATAAATAAATCTGCAAATTTTACAAATCGATTTGCATTAGCTTGAGGCAAGAAAAATAAATTAATATCACAGACATGTTAGGTATATCCTATATATGATTTTGTACATCTTATGTATTTACTTGCAAGAATGTAGCCCTTACCAAACCTGTACACGCCGTTTAGAAGTTAAAACACCAGTTAACTTTATTTGGAAGATAAACAGAGGATAACATAGTAAGGCAGACAAAAAACAAAAAAAACAAAACAAAGAGATAGTATGCAAGCAACATAATGTACTTGATATATATAGAAAGTTTAAACAAATTTGGAAAAAAGTTTTTATAAAATTACTACCTACAAGACCTTTAAGTATGTTAAAGGAATAGTTTACCCAAAATTTACATTTTTTTCATCATATACTCACTCTCATGACTTTCCAAAAATATATTTTTTTGGTCCAATGACTGTTTACATGAGTTACTTAGTTATAAATGTTCCTGTGTCAACATTTTTGGATAGGAATGTTGTTCCAGGATCAACAAAATATGTTATGTGAAGAGATTTGCTTGTGTCAAGCGATTAAGTATTTTCTTTGATTATTGGAACTAATCATTTAATTGGTCTACATGGAAATGTAGTGATTTCAAATCAATCCAATATTGTTTTTGGACAGTTTAAAAATTCTTCAAAATATCTCATGGAGAGTGAATAAAGTATTCCAAAATAATTTTTGGATGAACTGTCCCTTTAAGATATTCAACAAGGTTCAACTTTATGTTCTGAGTAGATTTTCCAAATTATGCTTAAAAAAAGCAAAAAAAACCTTATTCTCTTTAGTTCATAATTATCAAAGTAAAATAAAATGATATACATATTAAAGTATTTTTCTCTAACCGTCCTTTGGACTCTTTCGTTAGCTCTGGAATATTCACGTATTCCGTCTGTAGTTTCCCGAGAGATAAACAAAGTTTTGTTTTGTCCTGTCCATTGAAATTTAGGTTGACAGCTGCAGCTCCCATCTCTACAGATCCATCTCTGGACTTTTTGTATATCCCATTATACTTTACAAACTCTTTCTCCACACACGCTGTTTAAAACAAAGAGGTATTCATTTAGACAAAAAAATATTTCCATTTAGGCACATATTTCCCAACACAAAACACATTTGTTAAAGATAAAAACATACTGAGATTCCAATTTGCTATTCACTTTACCTGGTTCAATTGCTTTCCCATTCAGCAGGTGATTGAGAGTGAAGGGTGTGGGTCTGTATTTAGTTTGCTGCCAGAACCACCCTTTCGGGATTTTCAGCACCACGGCAAGCGGCTGGAGGTTTTGGGAATCACTTGGGCTGGAAGCCGCAATCAGAGCCCCCTCAGGATCTATCTGTTGGACCAGCTTCTTCGTCGCTCTCTTAAACATCCTTTGCACAAACACGTGAACAGGCGGCATTAAACCACATTGGAAAATGTGTACACTTGATGAACAACTTTATTCATAGGCTTTTCTCAAGCGGTGTTCCTGGTGATGGATGTAAAAGACTGGAAAAACTGGAAACAGGTTGAAGAGATCAAGAATGCTAATTTCCACTGATCTTAGCAGATGGTAGCAGACTTCTTCTCCCAGTAAGTAATGGTGGGGGAATACAGTAAATTTCCATTAAATTAATGTTTTACATATCAAATAAGGTCTGGCTATATAAGGAAAATGCAACAAGAGCTCAGGGCTGCTTTTTTGTATCAGATCAGCCCGTGTCTTCGAGACTCAGCATTTATGTTGGGTAAAGTCCTTTGTTCTAGAACATTTGATGGTTTGCATTGATTATCTTTTGATTATTGATTATGGAATTGTAATAATACATTTCCCTGACATAATAAATTGTTATATTTGATTATTCTAACAGACTTTGATTATTTTCATAGAGGAATAGTCAAACATTAACCTATTAAACGATGAACAGATATCATTGAAACCTTTTTCATTTTATGGAGTCAGATGAAATGAGGTAATACATAAGTTAAAAATTAAATATCCGTTTGGCATGGGAAGACACGGAACACGCGTGAAACCTTCGCCTCTGATCGGGTACCGCCTTTGGATCGATTCAGCAAGCCTTACAACAGTCATTTAGATTGCACAATTGTTTGGTGTGAAACCACAGAATCATCATGAAATACGCAAATGCTCCACTCACAACTGATTTCCTTGAAAGTTAAGAAATGTGATGAACCTCAAAAACACGGAATGCGCAGAAGCTGGTGAAAAAAAGAAGTGTTCTCTTCTTGCCATAAATACGAAGTAAAACTAAAAAGGGGAATAAATGACAGATTGATATTATGAATAGCTAGGATTAAGTTAGATTAGAGAACAGTGAAGTGAATCAAACCTCACAATGAATTAAAATGTCAGAGATACTGTGAATGGCAGAAAATAGCATTTGAGTTGCATCTGCACACAACACATGGTGGTGGGTGACAGATATGGTTCATCATGCTAATAGAGTAAGACAGCATAAAAACCTACCGCTCTAACAGTGATGTAGTGGTGCCTGGAGAAGTGGGTATACTCTTAATTTATGCCCCCAATATTTTTTTAAGCGTCCCAGCAAAGGATGAACGCCCTGTGTTATAAACAGTGACATGTAAGACTACTAGTCTTGCATTAGTATTCAAAATGCAAGACTATAGAATAGAGTATAATGAATACAATAGAACACATAGAATCAGTAGTATTCTTGCATATCAGGGCCGCACATATAGTTTTCTAAATACCCAGGTGCCAGGTCCCATACATTTTATTGTTAGGGGGGTTCGGGGGCATGCCCCCCCCGAGAAAATTTTGATTTTCCTGATCTCGAAATGAGCATTTTAAGGTGTTTTGATGGCCAAAAAAATTGACAACAGTAGCTTTAAAAGCATGAAGTAGCCTATTTGATCAGATTCTTAAACATGAGAATCAGTTCCAGTTTCAGCGACTTTTCTTTCCTAAATTAATCAATGTTTTTTGGACTAATCTGTTAATTTAATTAATGGTTCAATTGCTCAATCAAAAAGACAGTCACTTGTCGCCACCCTCTGGCTAAATGATGCAATTGGCGCAAACGCTGACAAGTCAAACACATTCGAAAAAATGTTATACATATATATTTATACAATAATAATGGCAATGTATTTAATAGGGTGCTTGTGTTGTTAAATTGAGCTTGTAATTTCCACTGCCTTTAATCAAACTGATTATTTCTGTCGGTCATTTAAAACGTCTATTGAAAAACAGACGTAAATTTGAGCTACTTGCATCTTATCTTCTCGCACTGTCGTTAACTGAAGTGAAGCGTCGCGTTGGGATTCGCGCTCAGCTCGCGCTTCTATGAACAAAAATCCTGCATTCTTTGATTGGTCTCACGAACATTTTGACATTGACGAGCAGGTGAGTGCTGAAGCAGATCAGATGAGAAGGTCAGTTATCGTCGCGATGGAAGAATCATTGCAGCAACAAATTAGAGTTAATATTACGGGTACAACTCTAACGGGGTGTTTTTTTTTAATTCACGAAATTGGAGTAGCAACTAAATGATGCGCATCAGAGGGGATTTAGAAGTGGGTATACGCAATGCCGACTGAAAAGGAAGTGGGTATACGCCGTATACCTGCGTATACCCTGCTGCGCTCTAAGGGGCTTAAACTGAGCAAAAAAGGGAAAATTTTAAATTGGGGAGTTTCCAGTCAGTGGAACTCCCCTGACACTGGGCCAATGAAGCTATAGTAACAGGTGCAAAACAATCTCTCCAGAAGTTTCTGAGGCTCCTTATTTTTAAAGGTATAGTTCACCCAAAAATGCAATTATGTCATTAGTTGCACCCTTGTGCTGTTCCAAACCTTTATCACTTTAATTCTTCCGTGGAACATAATTCGGACAACATAATGGTCAATTTGTCAATTAAGTTATAAGCTTGATAACTTCATCATTCATTGTAATTATGGTGAAAAGAAAGACTAGTCTTCAAAACTATACTCTCTCGCTTTAACTATACTTTTCTCTTTCTTTTCTTTGAAAAAGTCACTTTTTTGTGGACTTACTGCTGCTAAGAAAATGCTTGCCTTACACTGGAACCCCCCACATTCTATAGTATGGACTCGCTGGATGGACTCTTTCTTGGACATTGCGAACATGGAGCTCTCAGTGGCAAGATTACATGAAGCTTCTCAGAAGAATATTTCATCATGGTCAGGTGTCATTTAAAAACTGAAAGATCTATATCTCATGTTTTTATTTTTATTTATTGTATTCAGATTTTGATCTGCACTGCGAGATGGGGGTGGGGGGACTTGGTTGCCTTGAGAATATGTGAGGGAAAAAAAGAAATGAAAATGTGTTCAGAATGATGTTTATGTCTACTTTTGTTTCTGTACAATAACTTTCTCTGACTCAATAAAAATTTGATAAAAAAAAAAAAACCAAAACATTCATTGGAACAAAATGAGGGTGAGTAAATGATGACAAAACTCTAAGTCAGAATGAAAGTTTGAAATGTATATCTGAGTGATCAGAATGTAGGGCATTTTCTCATGTCTGTAAACATGTCATTCAGAGAAAGGTCAATTATTTTGATTAATGATTACGAGGGCACATTATTTATTTATTTTTAAATAATGATGAGCTTGGGAAAATTATTTATAATACTGCAATATTTAAAAATAATAAAGAATGATACACTTTATTTCATGGTCACTAATTTTGGGGTGAATTTTTTGATTATGAACCATGCACGTAAAAAAGGTGTAATATGTCAACACATTCTCACCCCAAGGCGTCACCTTTGACCATGCTTCAATATTTGACGTTTTAAGGCCAATTTATACTTCTGCGTCGAGGGTACGCCGTAGTGTACGGCGTTGGCTTCGCACGTAGGCGACGCCGTCGTGAGCATTTATACTTCTGCGTTCAGGTATTGGTTGCTCTGCAGTATTGCTCCGAAACGCTAGTTGGCGGCGGAGGGTTTTAATGTTCCACTGTGTTAGATTCCTCGCGGCTAGGTTACTACAAGCAATAGCGACTGAAAGAGAGTGGATCATGTTGGAGTTGGAGCTTATTGGGGTGGAAAAACAGTTCATTTTAGTGAAATTACTAAAACTGAAAGGCAGAAATGACAGAAGACGTCGGAGGAGATGGTACATGTGGAAATGCGTGAGAATACGTGCGGAATGCGTAGGAGGAAATGCGATGCTACCAAGCCGACCATTCACCGATCTTGCGGTCCGCGTCGTCGCGACGTGTAGTTACATTTTTGAAGAGGTGCGCGTCAGGCAACGCGGAAGGGTTACGCGGTATGGGACGCGTCTGTGCGTATGCTACGCCGTACCTACTGCGCGCACCCTACGCAGAAGTATAAATTGGCCTTAAAGGTAGGGTGCGCGCGTAGGGTGCGCGTAGTAGGTACGGCGTAGCATACGCACAGACGCGTCCCATACCGCGTACCCTTCCGCGTTGCCTGACGCGCACCTCTTCAAAAATGTAACTACACGTCGCGACGACGCGGACCGCAAGATCGGTGATTGGTCGGCTTGGTAGTCGTATTTCCTCATACGCATTTCCGCACGTACCTTCTCACGCATTTCCACACGTACCATCTCCTCCGACGTCTTCTCTCATTTCTGCCTTTCAGTTTTAGTAATTTCACTAAAATGAACTGTTTTTCCACCCCAATAAGCTCCAAACTCCAACATGATCCACTCTCTTTCAGTCGCTATTGCTTGTAGTAACCTAGCCGCGAGGAATCTAAACACAGTGGAACATTAAAACCCTCCGCCGCCTCCTAGCGTTTCGGAGCAGTACTGCAGATCAACCAATACCTGAACGCAGAAGTATAAATGCTCACAACGGCGTCGCCTACGTGCGAAGCCAACGCCGTACACTACGGCGTACCCTCGACGCAGAAGTATAAATTGGCCTTTAGGCGCCCTTTAGCGTCACTTACACGGCGTCATCTAACTTACGTTAAAGGAAAGCGTCAGGACGCGGTTAGGTTTAGGTATGGGGTGGGGGTAGGGTACACGCGATCCTAGGGCGTCATCTAACTGACGCTAAAGGGGCCTAAAGCGTCACATATTGAAGCATGGTCAAATGCTTCCCAAGGCGTCAGTTAGGTGACGCCTTGGGAGTGAGAATGGGCTGAATATGTGCATCAATAATGGTCATTTGAATGGATTTGCAATGTAACCATCAAAAGTAGCCTACAAAAATACATGTGTAATTTGCAGAACTCAATTTTATTATTAATAAGGGGTTCCTGTTCCATCTCTCCAAAAAGGTTTTAAAGAAACCAGCTCAAAATCATTTGTTTTATTGACACAAATGTGTGGCACATGCAGCAGGCAAAAGTGAGTTCTTCAAAAAGACTTAAGAGGATGTTTAAATAACCTCAGTCACAAAATAGAATGACCACAGCGGATCACCATTTATATCTCCAAACTTGCCACTTTCTTTACATCACATAGACTAATCTTGCTTAACTGGACTGCAAAGTAATAGTAAAATCAGGTGATCAAGAGTAAGATTTGATCGATACATACCTGTATCTGTTAGTCAGACTCCTTGTTTGCGATAGATCAACGTCCAAAGAGCTGAAAAGCGATGGATTATGAAGAAACGATGAAGAATATGCCTATGACTTTAATTCACACAACAACTGTTTTTTTAAAAAGAGAAAAGTCCACAATATTTCTCGTATTAGAAAGTGCAAAATTCAGCACGTTCACTCACATTTAAACGTATTCTCAACTAGGCTAACTAAAATGCCATCTCACACGTGTTCCACTGTGGTTTTGGATCTAGATGCGCACGGTCGAGACTCATATGTCAGGAGGAGGCGGTACAATATAGGGGGATTTCGTCTTCTTGTTTCCTTGCTCAAGTAACCTATGTGTTCCAAAGGCTTATCATATTCGGTAACACTTTACAATAAGGTTCATTTATTAAACATTAGTTAATGTATTTACTAACATGAACTAACCATGATCAATACATTTGTTACTGTTTTTGTTCATCTTTGTTAACGTTAGTTAATACAAATACAGCTGTTCATTGTTAGTTCATGTTAATTCGCAGTGCATTAACTAATGCTCACAAGATTTTAATGAAGTAGGCTATTAGTTAATGTAGAAATTAACATTAACTAAGAGTGAACAATACTTCTTCAGCATTTGTTAATCTTTGTTAATGTATACTAATGTAGTTAACTAATGAACCTTATTGTAAAGTGTTACCTCATATTCATATGGACAGAACCATAAATAATCTTGGCACAAGCCCAATTGTGCTTTCAGGGATTTTTAACACACGTAAAGCGAGTGAAATAGTTTGGAATTGTCTAGAATAGACTAGCAAAAATATAAATGAACATAGATCAAGAAATAGGCTTATTTTAAAATGATAATAAAAGGTTGTCAACATTAACCTAAATGTTTTGTTTGTTGACTGAATGTAGGGTACGGAATGAGAAAGAAACAACGTGATAAAGAATAGAGCCGCAAGAGTAGCACTTGGTTGCTCTTTTCGCTCTAGTCCCTTCAGGTCAAATTATGTTTCAAGTTTCTGAAAAATATAAAAGTACATTTTCCCAGCTCATGAGGCTTCTATAAATGAAAAAAAATATATATAAAAAAATATAATAATAATATATATATATATATATATATATATATATAATGGCTTTCATTATGATTTTTTTTTTGTCCATTCCAATGGGCATCAGGTCAAAACAGGAGTACTTCCCAAAAATGGCACCAACATGAAATTAATAAACATAAAATTTGTTGGTCTGTACTTTAAGCTTTTTCTCAAGGTCAAAAAATGTCTGCAGTATACAATTTCAACTAAAATTTTGAGGTTTTTGTTTTACAGATTGCACATTGTTTCTAACAAACTAAATATCTTTGAATCAATCAATCTGGTCATATTGGAGTTATTTTCTGTGTGCATCTTTCTTTTTTTAGATAAAAAACTTTATAACATTACAACTTTAATCGTAAGGATTTCTGGCATTTGATTGGATGAGAAACGTCCAATCTCATGGACTGCAGGCTTAAAAGTAGGTGAAATGCTCCAGAAGTTAAAAAAAAGGGGGCTATCATTGTGATGTCCATAGTTTTTTAAAAAGTGCCCATTATAAGAACAAAACCTTGAAGTCAAAAAGGTAGCTATGTTAACATCTAAACTGTTAAAGGAAGAACTTGGTTAACTGAACAATAAAATATTCTATCATCATTTACTCACCCTCAAGTTGTCTCAAACCTGTAAGATGTTTGAAGAATGTCGGTAATCAAACAGTTGATGGACCCGATTGACTTCCATAGTCAGAAAAAACAAACAAACAAACAAACAAACAAAAAATTATGGAAGTCAATGGGGTATCAACAGTTTGATTACCAACATTCTTAAAAATATCTTTTGTGTTAAGCAGAAGAAAGAAATTCATACATTAAAAAAAACAAACAAAAAAACAAACAAACATGAGGGTGACTAAATGACAGAATTTTCATTTTCATTTTTTTTTCTTAAAAAACAACAACCTCAAAGTAGACTCACAATAGTCACTTTAGTTTGGAGAGCAGTTGCACATGGAATATACGATGGCTCAGGTCAAGAAAGAACATGTGACATTAATTGTGTGCATATGTTTTTGAAAAGATGTCCATTCAAAAAAACAAAAAAATAAATAAATAAAAAGCTAAAAGGAAGTGTGGGGAAAAAAACACCACATTCTAAGAGTTAAAGGAGTAGTTCACTTTTAAAAAAACTTTTGCTGATAATTTACTCACCCCCATGTTTTCCAAGATGTTAATGTCTTTCTTTCTTCAGTTGGAAATAACCAAACGGTTCAGGTCCAAAAGACAGTTTCAGTGCAAACTGTTCAAAGGGCTTTAAATGATTCCAGACAATGAATAATGGTCTTATCAAGCGAAATGATCGCTCATTAAAAAAAAAAAAAAAATTAAGTTTTATAAGCTCAAATGGTCGCCTTGCTCTGTTCTGTGATGCACGTTTGTGACTCTCCTGTTCAAACTCGTTTATCAAAATGAACTAATCTTTTCCCAAGTCAATTTGTTCATTTCATTAGTTGAATGAACCAAGTGACACAAAAAAGATTAGTTCATTTTGATAAACGAGTTTGATAAAATTGTTTAAAGCCCTTTGAACAGTTTGCAATGAAACTGTCTTTTGGACATTGAACCATTTGGTTACCAGTAAAGTGCATACGGACAAAAATCCTGGAATGTTTTCATCAAAAACCTTAATTTCTTTTGACTGAAGAAAGAATGACATGGATATCTTGGATGACATGGGGGTGAGTCAATTATTAGCAAAAGTAAAAAAAAAAAAAAAAAAAAAAAAAAGTGAACTACTCCTTTAAGCAATAGATGAATCTCCAAAAGCATCTGTATAATAAAAACAGGGAAAGTTTCTTAGATTCATGCGCACTACATTTATTGTGCAAAGCAAACATGTGGTCAGTCATACACTGATGCAATTTGTTTCCAATCCTCTGAAAGCAACAGTCGCAGATCTGTTTAAATTCTTTTGAAAGTATGTCACTGACTAAGAAAAGAAAGGTTGTGTTTATCACATCTAAAACACCAAACCCACAATTTACAGAAACAGGACAACAGTTTTCAAGTGTAACATGGTATACCACATGAGCACACACAGAATATCGCTCTCTCTCTTTTACATACATACACAGAAAAAGGAGGACAGGCATGTACATGACATAAAATTTCCATCCAGTACACAATCATTGTTTTAGACAATTTATTTTAAACATTTTATATATTTTTTCATTCGTTTTCTATTAATATCCCTTTAAAGAAAGACAAATCCCTGTGCAAAAATATTTATGGACATATATATATATTTCTAGAATGCCGGAGTGGATTTTAAGAGTCAGTAATTGATGAACTGTGGCTTTCAAACATTGAATATAGTACCCTGGGGTAAATCTCTTTAAGCTATTCAGTCTAGATTTCACTCAAAATCAATTATTATTTAAGGAAAAAAAGAGAGATATAAATAAGAAATTATATCTTGCACAAAAGAACATCAAGCCTGTTTTTAGGACCACAATTTATTTTTTTTAAAAAATTGTTTGAATATTACTTTCATGATAATTAAGTACCCCAAAATTCTCATTACTGTAGAACTTTTTATATTTAATTTCTTACAATATTTTGTGCCAATATAATAAAAGGCAGTACAACAAATACTACCATGTTGTATAAATACTCTACAATTTTTCAGATTACAGTAATGGGAATGAAAGCAAAAAAAAAAAAAAAAATCAAATCAATAATGCAAAAATTTAAAAATCATTATGGTCCAAAAATAAGCTTAATTTACAAAAAAAAAAAAAAATCTTATTTATTTTAGGGTGATCTTAAGTGTTTGTCTTTAAAATTCTAAATCAATCTTAAATCTTACTTTATTTGATTAATTAATAAGATGATTTTTTCTCCTTTACTTATTAATTATAAATGCATTAATTATATCCAGGCACTTACTGTACAACAGTCTTTGGTCTGTGCTTTTGCATGTAACATCAACAAGGCAGTTTGACAAGTAAGGCATTGATGTGTATCTATATTGTGGAATAAATGTCTGTTTAGCAAAGATAAATACCAATACAAAAACCATCAAGATAAACACAGTACACACAATATATATATACAATCAGAGCAGAAAGAGAATGGTCACCAGAGCACAGGGAATTCTAGTTTGCTGAACCCAGGGTCCTTCCTGAGGTCCCAGTAAGTGCCATTGCTCACCCACGAGTCGTCTTCAGCACGTCTGATTGAATTAACAAAAGTGAGTTGAGGAACTCATGATGCGCCCAAATGCAACAACAGCATCTTTATGTTCATAACAGTCACTTACTTGAAAAATCGGGGTGAGTGTGTCATGTTATTTTCTTGCAGGACTCTCCTCCTCTCTCTTTGAAGGACTTCAATTCTTTCTTTCTGTTCTTCTGCTCCGGCAAGATCACCCTCTTCAAGTAATCTAACAAAAAGAGGAGCAACAAGTAGACAACAGCTGGTTTTGGTAATGGGAAGAGTTCACTATGCATGGCATAAATGCACAATTCATACAGAGTCAAAATCTGCTAAGGGGTAATTAAATGTAACAAATCATGTAAGAATGTATAATCTTTTATTGGAAAATTAAACAACATTTAAATCAAACTTTGATCATTGTTTTAATCTTTTAAACTGAGAAGATAGTGATCAAATTACATTTTATAAAAATCATCAGGCAAGTTTATAATATATTACATCAGCATATGAGAGTCAAATTGGATGACTACTGGGACTCATATCAAGATCAGTCATTTGGCAGTTCATCAATTGCCAAAATTAGGAAAAGGGATTTTTAGATAATCAAAAGATTATTGAAAATATTCAAATCAGGAATGTCAGAATCAGAAATGTGTAGTATGTGCAAAAAAAATATCCGTCAAAACCAACACTATCGTGCACTATTCAGTATGAGAGGCGGCAGCACAGAAAACAGCATATGAGTATTCTTGCGCTTGAATGGTTAAAAAAAAAAAACATTAAAATGATTTTTTTCTGCTGTGTGCAGGTTTTGGATGTGTTTTTAGCAGCTTTTAGTGCCCTCTGAAGGCATTTGTTAAAATAAATAATGTACATAAGTTGATTGTTTATATTATTTATAACATACTATGGTAGTCAATGGGGAATGAGATCTGTTTGATTAAAACATTCTTCCAAATATCTTCCTTTGTGTATAGCATAACAAATAAACACATAGAGGTTTGGAACAACATGAGGGTGAGTAAATACTGACAGAATTTTCATTTTTGGGTGAACTAACCCTTTAAGTGAACAAACTTATACTCGTTATAGCTTTTTATGTATTATTTTTGCATTTGCAGTATACTATTATGTTCAAATGTAGATACTATTTTGTATTAAAAAATACCTTTAGCTTTAATTTTAATTAGCTTTATGCATTCTTTTTTTTATCAACACTTGAAATGTTGGTAAGTTTCATAAAGAAAGGCAACATTAGAATTGTAATTTAAATGACGATTAAATAAAATGATGCAGACAAAATTAAAATACGGCACACTGTTTATGACTTGCGTGACGCGGGACAACAAAGCTTCATATTCTTCACAGCTTCACAAAATGAGGGACAGGTGGTCCACCTTTGATGATATTAAACGGGTTTTTGATTTACACACTGTTTAATGTTTGATGATGATCACGATATTGTATATTTGAGTGAGTGAGCAATTTTCTATCACTAATTTCAGCTTCTTCTCCTGTGTTTTCATACAGAGGAGATGTACTGTACTAGAAAATGCCAGTACAAGACAAGTGCTGACATATAACGTTAGCCTATGCTATGGTAAGTAATAACTAGCTTGTTAAACAAATAGGCCTACAGTGAAAGCCAGCCAGATGATGATCTGTCTTCAAACTTTAAAGGGTTAGTTCACCCAAAAATGAAAATTAAGTCTTTATTTACTCACCCCCATCCTGTACCAACCCCGTCAAGAGCCAGTCCAGTAGGCAGTCTATGTAGTAGTGATCCAGCTCTCAGATTTAATCAAAAATATCTTTATTTGTGTTCCGAAGATGAACGAAGGTCTTACGGGGTTGGTACAGCATGGGGGTGAGTAATTAATGACTTAATTTTCATTTTTGGGTGAACTAACCCTTTAAGGATAAAAAAAACCCCCTCAATTCTTACCCACTGACTTCTTTCTGAAAAATCCCCCAAGTTTCTCAATTTTTTTTCTTTCCTGCTCGCTGACTGTCTCAGTTGTTAACTCGCACTCTTGCGGTTGACTGTGCTAGCTTCTCCCCTACCTGCTGCTGCATATTCAACAGAGAGGAAGAAACGGAGCAGCCCATAGGCTATCGACATTTATTCTATAGGCTAGATTATTTTTAAGATCTATTTTTACAGGCTGTATGCAGTATATGCAAAGCCAAAGCGCAATGAAATAAAGCAGCCTATGATTTTGGGCATTACATAGGCTGTTGTCTAGTTTCATATTTGCTCAGTGACAGTCATTACATTTGGGGCTTGACTCAAAACATTTGGGGCTGAAGTCCCGGGAAAAAAAAGCACCGGCAAAAGCCCCTGGTTTCGAATTATGTCTGTACCTTTGGTCGGGTCTAAAACGAGTGTCCGTCAGGGGCAAGAGTGGCATTAAACTCTCCTCCAATTCATTTAGCTCAATTGCAAATTGGGTGAATCCATAGTACAGCTCGTGGTCCTCAGGTATAGGATCTATATGCACCCATACACAAACATACAAAAAAGACAAAAACAGTGTTGCGTTAGCGCCCTCCTGAGATCATTATCCACAAATGCATTGAAGATGGTCCAAATGATTATAATTTAGATATTTGAAACATTTAAATAGTTAAATGGACTGCTCTGGACTGGTCCGGAACTCACTTGCTCTCCAGATGCAGGTTGCCGAGGGCGGTTTTCCAAGGTACAAGGCCTCGTTCCATTTGCCAAACAGAGAGTGAATGACACGCCCCTCTGAATCAGTGACCACACCCTCTACCTCATTAGCATTCAGACCTCCAGATCTCGACTGAATATAAAGCATGCATAAAACAAATCATAATAAAAGAACTGGTAATAAATCATTTATGAAATGAATATTTGGTTGAGGATGAAGATGTGGGCAAGACAAACAGGGATACACACATATGTGGAATGAAAGAATTTTGCATGTCTTGAAGGTCCCACCTTAAGGAAAGTGACTTTGCAATGACTGACATCTCCCATCATGTTTGAGTGCTTGATTGACATTTCCCCATAGTGTTCGATCCAGCGCTGACCACTTAGAATGTTATGAATGCATGAAGTGACCTTACTCCACTCATATCGATCCCCAAAACTGAGAATGAGCGAGTGAGTGAAAGAAAGACAGAGATGCTGAGACATGGAGGAGAATGCGTGCTGGAATAATGGAAGTGAATGATAAGCAGAATAATTCGTGATAAAAATAAAAATCACCCTGGCAACTCTAAGTGAGTGACTCCCATGGGAACAATCTCCATTGATTTCCCCCAAAACTTATTCTTCCAACGGATATCTAATGGACATATACAGAGAAGGGCATCAAATCCTGCAAAACTCCTAAAATGCTTGACACTAGCCAACTGTGCTTCACTTACCTTGCCAAAATGTGTAGCTTTTGGACTCACAGTGACAAGCGGACACAGGTGGATGGTGACTGACCTTAGGGACACAGTGTTAAAGAGCATGTGAGCGTGAACACTAGGGCTGTCGCGGTGCAAGAAATTACCTTGCTGTGATTTTGAGTGGCTCAATAATATCACACTATGATTCATGAAACACGAGCAGAATGAATTTTTGTGTAAATCGTGTGTAAAGTGGTTCTGGCGTAAATTTTCCGATTCATTAAAATGTTCGTATTTTTCCAAATGTTAGTTGCTACGCAAGAAATCCACACCTGCTCCCAGCCACGCGTAAATGGTGTGCTTAACATCCGAACGTTTTGCTCATTAATAAGGCTGCATTTTAATTCACCTTAATCGGGTACATATTTAAACAGCATTTTGAAAAAATATTTATATTTTATATAGTAATTACATACGGTTTTTCTTTTTACTTCTATTATGAGGGCCAGTAATAGCAGATCTGGCTATTACTGTGATTAATAGTGATTTTTCCGAAGTGAACTAACTCGTTTTTTGCTGTCAAGCTTAATGTCGAAACATTTTCTCCTCACTTCTGGGACTGTTCGATTAACAGAAGAAACTCCATTAACTGCATCTGTAATATGCTGCCAAGCTTCCTTTTTTTAGGATCTGATAGGCTACTATGTAGCTACGCTTGAAAATAAAATTGGCATTTTGAATGAACTTCTGATAATAAAATTTCAATTTCTGCATCCAAGAAATCTTTCTTTTTCATTCGCATTCATGTTATTATATGCCTATATAGATGTCAGTCGGATATAATGGGTGGAATTAAAAACTTGCAGGCGCATCCCATTTACGACTGGTTGGAATTCACTAACACACACACGCACACATTTCACTATCACATCTGACGTTTACGAAGTATTTGTGAATCAGGAGAAGAGTTTTCGGGAAGGTCTCTTTACGCGAAAATCACTCGCATATTTACTCGTATATTTACGAACGTTTCATGAATGAGACCCAATAAGTTGTTTGGGCTATTGTTATATGTGTAACAGTTAGTTCCGATCCTCGAATCTGACTGGACGAGAGGCTTCCTATAAGACTGCTGATATATTTCCCGATAGTATCCAGCATCAGCCTCTTCACATTCTAGACTGGCTGGCAGTCAATGCAGGTTACATTGTCTTTGACAGACAAAGCTCAACCAACCAGCAATACAGATCTTCTTTACAAATCACAATGGTGTACAGTCTTTACATTCTTCACTTTTGCTCATTATTAACTTAATTAAAGGGATAGTTCACATTGAAATTAATTTTTGATATGTTTTAGCTTACCTCAAGGGTATCCAAGATGTAGGCATCTTTGTTTCCACAGTATTTTCAATTTTGACATTTTTCGGTCAAACCGGTGTTGTCTATCAGTCATATAATGCAGGTATGGGGGTCCACGTCAAAGAGCATGCACAGAGAAGTCAAAATTAAACATGATTTAATGATTCGTAAATGTAAGTACACATTGATGGCCTAAGACACGAAACGAGCAGTTTGTGTGAGAAAATGAACAGTATTTATATCGTTTTTCCCTCTTGTTAACAGCCATGTCCAACTGATATGAATCAGATGTCGAACTGAACCGTGTCCACTAAACATATTTTAGATATATCGAAATCGTCTTCCATTGCGATTTCCCGTATAATAAATATCCAAGTATGTTTAAATATGTTCACAGTGAAAGGTAAAACTTCCGAAATCTCTGTGTAAACAACGAGTGACGTACACATGTAAGCGATCACTTCCAGTTGGACACGGTTCAGTTCGGTTCAGTTGGACATCTGATTCAGATCAGTTGGATATCTGATTCAAATCAGTTGGACATGGCTGTTAACAAGAGGTAAAAACGATATAAATACTGTTTGTTTTCTCACACAAACCGCTCGTTTCGTGTCTTAGGCCATCAATGTGTACTTACATTTACGAGTCATTAAATCATTTAATTTTGACTTCATGCTCTTTGACATGGACCCCCTAAACCTCCATTATATGACTGACAGTAGGGGTGTGCGATATGACGATTTTTAATCGTGGACGATTAAAATGTCTCCACGATCTGCTTTTGAAGAAATATCGTAGTATCGTGTTACAGTGCATTCTATCAGAACAGTTCTGGCGCCTCCGTCTCATCTGTACAACGCGACGTAGCCTAGACATCACACGTTAATGAATAGGTACGGGACACTGCAATTCACAAAAGTTCATTAATACTTGCATAAGCCTTGCCGGTTAAACATTTAATCCACGCGCTGATGCGCCGTTCTAACGTGCGTTTTCCTGACCGCATACCCACGACAATCACAGGCTCTAGAAGCCTGTCAAACAGCGCCAGAATACTGGACTAAGTTATCTTTCGAGTCTTATTATGCTAATACTGTTAAATACACACAATGTGTACATAAACAGGCTACGTCTAAAGTGAAAGCAAACATTTGAGAGAATATCTGGTGTAATATGCGTCTATATTAAAAGCGTCGCGTGCTGGTCTATAAACGACAGGAGTAAATAGTACTGCCGCTTGTCCTTAAAGGGATAGTTCACAAAAAAAAAAAAATCTGTCATTAATTACTCACTCTAATATTGTTCCATACCTGTATTCATTTCTTTCTTGTGCTGAACACAAAAGACATTTTTTTTTTTAATGTGGGTAACCAAACAGTTGCTGGTCCCCATTAACTTCCAGGAGAGAACCTATAAAAAAACAGGGGGACCAGCAACTGTTCGGTTACATTATTCAAAATAACTTTTATTTTCAACAGAAGAAAGAAACTTATTCGTGTTTAAAACATCTTGAGAGAGTAAATTAAGACCATTTTCATTTTTGAGGGAACTATCCCTTTAGTGTTAATAAAAAATAAAAAATAAAAAAACACACAAGGAGAAAATCACTCACTGACTGAGAACTTTAATAGTAGCTTTAATAAGAATCAATTTATTCAGTGAAGTCTATGTAGTGTTTTAATTTCATATTTGTTAATTTAATTACTTTCTTCAATGCTACTGCTAAATACACCTACTGCATCTGAAAAAAAGCACTATTTATTTAATTTGAATATTAATTTGTGTAATGTTTATCTTGTCTTATTTTTTTAATATAAAAAAAAGAAAATAATGACAAAGATTTTTATCTTCGCCACTGGCCTAAATGTATGCCTTTCTTTTTTCTTTTGTTACCTAAGGATTTGTTTTTAACATTAGTTTGGCTGTAATGAACAGCACTTGCAAAATATTAAAACCAAATTGAAAAAGAATCGTGATAAAAAATCGTGATCGTGATTTTCCAAAAAAAAATCGTGATATGATATTTTTTCCATATCGCCCACCCCTAACTGACAGACAACAACGGTTTGACCGAAAAATGTCAGAATTGAAAATGCTGTGGAAACAAAGACACCTACATCTTGGATGTCCTTGAGGTAAGCTAAAACATATCAAAAATTAATTTCAAAGTGAACTATCCCTTTAACACTCAATATGAATGCATGAAGTGTAAAACAAGATGGGAATAGCCTTGTGAATAAAGGAAACAAACATGAAACGGTTGCTAGCATTCCTCTGCGTTTGGCTTGTCAGTATCGCGGTATTACAATATTGCGGTTATTGCGTCAGCCCTGGTGTACACCTTTGTGATTTAGTTGAAATAACAGAAATGTGCATGGTTACCTGTTCAGCAATGAAGCGGAAGCCCTTATCTGGCCGAAGACACTCGTATGTCTCTCCCAGTATAGGATTAAAGGGTTTTCCTCCAGCTCTAGTGAACGAACATGCATAGGCTGACACAGCAAATGCTGCTATATATACCTTTAGAAAAAGACAAACAAGAATAGAATATATGGTAAAACATAGGGCAGCACAATAACGCTTAAACTAACAATGGCAAATATTTTGCTCAAAAATTATAATTGCAATTGTGAATCACTATTGCTTTCATTTGAGAAATGTCTTTTTCCATTTCATTAGAATTATTGCACTTTCACCTAAGCAAGCAAGCAAGCTAATTTTATTTATATAGCACTTTTCCAAACAAATGAATGCAGTTCAAAGTGCTTTACAGGCACAACAATTATTTTTTTTTTATTCAGGTACAAAATTATTCAGGTAAAGTACAAGACAAAATAAAATACAATAAAATAAAAAAAGGTAAAATGCAAAAGACTTCGTTTGGACTTCGGAGTGGCTACAGAAAAAAAGACTGCAACCGGACCCATGCAAAAACAAGGATATATCGGAAGGACATTACATGAACCAGAACTAGAACAAAACTGGATGTTTCTTACTAGTTTAGATGACATTTTCCAGCAAAAATTATTCTGTTGGTCATACACAAACGCATCGCTTCAGAAGTCCTTTATTAACCCCCGGAGCCGCGTGGAGCACTTTTATGATGGATAGACGCACTTTTATGGACTTCAAACAGAAACGATGCCATTCTAAAGCTTGGAAGAGTCAGGAAATTTTGTAATATAACTTCGATTGCATTTGTCTGAAAGAAGAATGTCATATACACCTAGGACAATTTTCATTTTTGGGTGAACTATCCCTTTAAATAATCAAGAGAAACAGAAATAGAGATCACGGTTAAAATACAATTAATCATGCAGCCCTTCTGAAGCTTAAAAGTCTCCTTTCATGTTTCTATAGAAGAAAGAAAGTCATACCAGTTTAGAAGGACATGAGAGTGAGTAAATGAGTATAATTTGATTGATCTCACCATGCGCATGTGTGGGTTGCGTGTGTTTGCAGCGGTGTCCAGCAGGTGGCAGTACTCAACTTCCTCACACAGTCTCTGCAGAGTGTTCATGGGCTCATTGAGTTGGACGGGCATGGCCACTTTCGACAGGTCTTTACCGATGTTACTGCGCAGAATACTCCACAGATTCACGCTCTCGTTCACGCGTGGACTTGGCAAACGGCCTCGTCTCATCACTGCACTCTCATTGCCATTACCTGAAGACACAAACACACTGACTATGACTGCAAAGAAAGGTTAAGCTTCATAAAAGTGAACTTGAATGTGCAGGTTTAACAGTGCCTCACCAAAATTCTCCCTCATGCAGCCGTTCTCATTCCTGCAATACTCTACTGATGTGCTGTCACTCACATCACTGACGTACGAATCATCATCAGACAACTGAACACACAAAAAAATAATAATGATCACAAAGGAATTAATGTGATAACATTTCAGTTTTCCTGTACATTTTTAAAGTCAATCTTAAGGCTTCTTAAAACCTTTTTAATACCTGAAAATGAATAACAATGAATAGTATCAGTAACGTAATAGTAATGATACACTCAGGGTGTGCAATATTGTTAAAAAAAATTGTCTTGAAATTTTCATGGATTTTGTTAACAATAATTAGACAATATTTTGCTGAATGTGTTTTTGAATGCATTTACAATTGCATAAATAATGCTATAAGGTAGATCCCTGCACAGGACTGTTTTTCCAGCTAGGAGTGTTCCACTCCCTCCCACCCTTAGAGAAGCACAACAGTTCTGCTGTGTTTTTATTAACCCTAAAACGTATTCTGGACAAATGTGGGCAAAATAGTTTATTTATTTTTAAAAAATACTTTCCTTGATCTGAGCGGTACAAGACTTGGCTACTTTTCCTAAGTTTGCCTCCTGAACACACACTATTTTTTTTTTTACTCAATTCTACAAATGTTAAGTGGGTGAAAAAAACAACTCCTTAATCTTGTATTTGGGTCAAAAATGGGCACCCATAGAAATTAATGGGGAAAAACTGTAATTTGGAGCATTCTAAAATGTTATAAATATGAAACAAAACTCATGGGGGTAAAAATGCCCATATATCTTGAATTTTGGGGGTATTCTAACTATATCATACAGTGAAAGCATGAACTCTCGAGCTATGTTTTTGCAAAGTGAGTGACAATGTCAGCTTTCATATCGTTTAAACAATAATATACAATATTATCGAGAAATTACACTAAAATAAAAATCTCACAATCTCAATACATACTCCGCAATTCATTTCACAGTGCCTTACATTTTAGTTTATTTTTGCAAAAATGTTAAAATTTCAAAACATTTTCAATCACTGACAGATGATTCATGCATATCTGCCATTTGACCACATGACCTTTCTGACCTCATTCTCAGACGAACTGCCAGACAGCAGATACTCTTTAGCGTCAAAGAACTCTGATAAGGACTCTGGGATTGACCCTCGACTCTCACTGGACACTTGCTGCAGCAGAGGGCGTGACCCATCAAGGACATCCTGATTGGATAAGAAGATAAAATTGGCTTGATTTTGGCCAATAATAACAGAAAACATAAACACTTAAAAACAGATAACGTAAATGTGCTGCTTCCTTACCTTCTCACTGATACGATCTAATGTGTTCCTGACTCTGTCTCTTTCTGAGCAAAGGGAAGTATACGCTGACCTAAGAGTGGAATTGACTAGTAGAAGAAAGAAAGGGGAAAAATATGTCATTTCATCATAAAGTTATTGTAATATCAGAAACTATGAGTTTAATTACTAATATGATATTAGTGATTATATATTATATATATCATAATTCCAGCAAAAACGCATGTGAACATTCATACTCACTAGTGGCAGCGAGTCGAAAGAACTCCTCCTGCATCCGAGAGGCTTCCGTGGGCGAGTCTGGACTATCCAGGCATGAGTCTGGTGAAACGGGCTCTGAATATACCAAGTTTGGATGAGATACGTGCAGACGGGAAGATGAAGTGTCAGGATTCTGCTAGAAAATAACAGATAGTGAATGACATATAATATGTGAAGCAGTGTCTAGTACAGTATGTGTATAATTTAAATCTTACCTGTAACGCACTTTTATTTTCCTTGCTATAATTCTTTGATCTCCATTTTTTGTGTCCTCGTTTCTCTTTTTTGGAGCCTTCAGTCTGGAGTCACACACAGACATTTAATGTTTTGTCTAAATAATGACATACAATGAGCATTGGAAACTGCAAAAACATCAACAAATCGTGCTGACCCCAAACTTTCAAACAGTAGTGTACATCTATAAAAAGCTTAGGAGGTATTTGGATGTCCCCAAATTAATTTATCATCACACTTAAACACATATTGATGATCCATTAATCATTACATACAATAATGCAAAAGGCACTACCTGCAGAAAGTTAATGGCAGGAGCCGAGAACGCTCGGTGAAGAACTTCCATATTTTTCAGAAGAAGATTTAATTCCAGCAACGAAGTATCACACTCCGACAGATCTAACAAAAAGATCACCTTTTAGCATTTTATTTTCTTAGTGATGGTCATTAAAGCCATCCTGCTTTTTTTTTTTTTTTTTAAGAAAAAAAAAGAAGAGAGAGATGGTATTTTGGCCATGATTAATACTTCAGAATGATGCGTCAGTTCCGGTTTTTACAGCTACCTTTGCAGCACTTCTCCATGTCTTGTGAGTTTTGGAGCCAGCTGTTCTTCAAAAGGGCTAAAGGCTGCTTGGAATGAAATGAACGCTGTGAACAAAAGAAAAAAAAAAAGACAAAATGTCACATTGGTGCATACTTGAAAATTATAGGGAAGGCTTCAAAAATTTGGGATCTATATACATACACATATATATATATATATATATATATATATATATATATATATGAAGAGTTCAGATGCAAAAGCCTCTAAATGCCATTTGAAATTTTCTTCTAAAATGACCATTTTTATAAATCTTGTATATTTAAGTTTAGTAATTTCACTTAAATGACACTTAATAGGTAATCTTCATTGCCATTTAAGTGAAATTACTGAACTTAAATATACAAGCTTGACAAAAATGATCATTTTAGAAGAAAATTTCAAATGGCACTTAGAGGCTTTTGCATCTGAACTCTTCATATATATATATATATATATATATATATATATAATTATTTATTAGGAACCCTTTAGTCTCCAGTGCCATACTTTTCTAGAATTAAAACCTACCTGGAGTCTCCAAAAGTACAAGGTTCTCAGTGACTTTGCTAAGGTAAAGAATCATGAGACTTGACCCTAACTTAATAAAGATCACAAGCCGAAGTGTTGTGGAACACGTGAAAACAGATATATTTTTTTAAAGGCTTAATAGACAGGCAGGTTATGAGTGACTCTTGAAGGACCTGCTCCATTTTCTCTTGTACCACTGTTTGAAGAATTTATCTTCCAGAATCTGGCAGTAAGTTGTAGAACTTCATATTCTCCTACCCTGAAAGGTCCGTCTTGCTCAATGTAAGTAGCAGCTCACACAGTACAATCACCTCAAGAGTCGCTCTCAACCCATCTGTTGATGAAAGTTGTTTATTATTTTTTTTAATCAGTCTGTGACTTCTATTAAAGGGATTCTTCAAGATTTATCATTAAGCTTTGTATTAGTGGAAAACCTGGAGTATTTACCCTCATGTCTCCCTGAGAGGAGAGATTAATGTATATTTTCTCTGGAAAAAAAAATCCTCTGATGATGCAAAAATCGTCATTTTGGATTTTTTTGGCCAGAGGCTAAAGACTACAGTCAGTAGTAGGGTCTGTCTTGCATGTTCTCAACATGCCCATAGAGGGTGGGATCTCACTCACAGAATGTACACATTATGTCAGCCATCTTTTTTGGAATCTAAGCTAGCAGGCTCTGGTTCTGTGGAGAAAGCGAGTAGTAGTAGGGGTTACCATGCTCTTTTTCCCGGACATGTCCGGCCGTCGATGTCCGGGATTCAGCTTTTGCTTTCTGCAGTCGCCATTCATGTTTACATGTACACCTTGCATGTTTCGATCTAACTGGATTTTAAAGGGTTAGTTCACCCAAAAATGAAAATTCTGTCAGTATTTACTCACCCTCATGTTGTTCCAACCCCGTAGGACCTTCGTTCATCTTCGGAACACAAATTAAGATATTTAAGATATTAAGATCGCTCCTGCATACAGTCCATAGGCTTCTTGAGGGACTGGCTCTTGCTGTCCCCGAAAAGTCATTAAAGACATCGTTAAAATAGTCCAAGTGACTACAGGGTCTCAATCTTAAGTTTATCAAACGACGAGAACACTTTTGTGCGCAAAAAAACAACAAAAATAACGACTTTATTTCAACTATTCACTTCCTTCTCCATGAGCCTGTAAGTCAGTTAACGTAGTGTGATTGCGTAGAGCTACGTCACACGTAGGCTCACTATTGGCTGACGCTGGTCATGTGTGTGTGATGCGTGTGACGTACAATAACAGAAGCTTACGCTATTAAACTAGTAACCTGACTCGCGCAGAGGGAGAAATAAACGAATAGTTGAAATAAAGTCGTTATTTTTGTTGTTTTTTTTGCGCACAAAAGTGTTCTCGTCGTTTGATAAACTTAAGATTGAGCCCCTGTAGTCACTTGGACTATTTTAACGATGTCTTTAATGACTTTTCGAGGACAGCAAGAGCCAGTCCCTCAAGAAGCCTATGGACTGTATGCAGGAGCGATCTTAATATCTTAAATATCTTAATTTGTGTTCCGAAGATGAACGAAGGTCTTACGGGGTTGGAACAACATGAGGGTGAGTAAATACTGACAGAATTTTCATTTTTGGGTGAACTAACCCTTTAAGGTGAAGAATCAAGTGTGAAACCACTAGAAAAGTTTTTTTTACATTAGTAGATTATTAGACTGATGTTGAAATCAAATTCAGATACATCCAGATGTTTTGATTCCTGATTTAACAAATCATCTAAAATTCTAGATGGAAAACTATTAATGCGATTTAAAAAAAGTCAGAACAGTAGAATTATCAGCCATTACCTCTTTCACAACATAAGTAATCAATTGTGAGTTTCAAACTAAATTTCATAAGTGGATCTCATTATTACTGTGACTTTTCTAACATTTTACGGTTTCTTAGCCTGTTGACGGGTCTGAAGGCTGACTTTTACACCACACTGTGATTGATTATTTTATAAGAAGGGTAAATACTCGTCTGTTGGAGACGGAGTCAGATTGCAGGTGTCGCTCGGGAGGCTCCATAGCTATCTCGTTCTGACGGAACATTCGATGAAGACGTAGTTGCGTCACCCACTTTTCAAACAGATCTCGAGTCTTTGCCTGTGAATGTTAAAGCAAATACAGCTGATGCATGGGCATTGACAAAACGAGATTAAATAATTCTTTACCCATCAAATGTACGTGTGTGTTTGTGTCTATGCCAATACCTTGAGGTGATAGATACTGTCCTCAGTGTCCAAGTCGATGCACATTGACTTCTTCTTCATGGCCATGACAGAGAGACCAACATCAATGCGACCTCGTAACCTTCCCTTCTTTAGCTGAGGAATCAATCACACAGTGAGGGATGAAAGAGCATCTCTGACAGGTTATCTTACTCCATATGAGCCTTGAAGAATGTGTGTGAAGTATGTGGATGAGACTGTTTTTACACTCACATCAGTCCCAGTCTTGGCATATGTAAGAATCCCCCTTTCGAGCAGGAAATATCTCTGCGAAAATAATAATAATTAGCACCCTTAGATGAAAGATGCATACATTTAAACATCATTACAAAATCATTTGATCACCTTATGCCAGCCTTTCATTGGCCACTTCCTCTTTTTCAACAGCAAACCTTCCTGCTTCTCAGGCTCCTGAATATTTTCTGTTAATCCCCGCAAATCTTCAACCACCTCCCAGCTCTCCTAAAGAATAAGAAAATGAGATAGAAAGAAAGAGGTGTACATTTTAAAAAGCTGTGGGGGAAAGAACAAACTTAAAATACCCCCAATACCAGATGCTGCAAAACACATCATATGTATAATTTGCACACATGATGTTTTAGTAAACATCGATTAAAGTCTCTCAATAGAGACCTGAAGCCGTTTGTCTTGCCTGTTTGTTGTCTTCTGACGAGGAATTACTCTCTTTCCGTTGTGTAAATGGTGTCATGCTTGGTGTGGCGGGTGATGTCTTGGGAGACAGTGGTGCCATTTGCTCGTCTGAACTCATCTTGTAATTAATTTACTGTGGACACAAAAACAGTAAACACTCACTGAACACACAATTGTACGCAAGTTACATCATGTGGCCAGCAGAGGGCAACAGAGTCAAAGAAAAGAACAAGTGAGTGAGGCAAATGAGGAAGTGACAACCAAAAGAAAAACATCAGGGAAATTTGTGAGGTTGTAAACTTGTGCCATTGGTGGAATTTCAAAATATTTCATTTTAGTTAGTGTACCTAACATTAATCTAATAGTTCATAAGAAAAACATACAAATTCAACAAAATACAATGTCAACATTTTAAATGTTTTTAACATACTAAAAAAAATAAAGAAATAGTAGACACAAAAAACAATATGTAAGAAATATCAGACAAATGTCCCTAATAAAGAACAAACTAAGAGATCACAGCAGTTACAGCAAAGACATAAAAAAAAAAATGTGAGTGCGAGAGTCTCATTGTTTTGAGTCCACAGGAACACACTGTTCTGTGAGGTGTTGCATCATGGTTTCTCCCACAACATAACTAGAGGCTTTCAATCAATAGCCAAAACTTTTAAAATCTTGTGAGCAACATTTTTATGGAAGAGTTTTTAGATTTATGGAGCGGTCAGGTGATTAATTCATTCATTCATCCACCCTGATTGAGCAGGTTTAACAAAATCAGACATAGTTAAGCATCAGTGTGACAGCAGAGGACTTAAAAGTTCTTAAAGATGTAATAGCTTATTCACATACAGTTTTGATGCTGTTTGACACACTGTTTGAATTGTAATTACATACATATTTTGAAGTAACTTTGTGCATCAAGTTATTAAAGCTAAACACAGTTAGTTACTTACATACAGTAGTTCGACGCTCATACATACCCACATATCTGATGTAAAGTTAAAGGTGCTATATGTATTTTTTAGCGGCCTCTATTGGTGATGTTTCAGATTGCAACCAATTTTTACAAGAGCGCTTGAACCATAGACTACAAAAAATATGGACGTAGTATCCGTGACGTCACCCGTAGGTTTCTGAAGAGCGTTTTTAAAGCCTAAAGTGGGCCGGGCCGGCCGTCGCCATTTTGGCAGTGCGTCACCTCTCATCACTACCGGATCAATTAAAATGGGCAAAGAGGCGGGACATGGGTGGAGCTGAGGTACTAATGCTATGCTACTGCCCTCACGCTGAAGTGACAGCTGATTGAAAAAGTAAAGCCAATGGTTAAAGTTCATGTTTTTGCCCTTCGAAATATTATAATGGTTAAGACGTAACTAAAAGTGTGATTATTTCCTTTACTTTTTTATCAACTTGATTAATCTCACAAGGGGCAATTAGTTAAGAGCATGTATACAAGTACATAACACAGATCACACACATTTCTCACAACATACAAGCAGTCAACTATGTGTATCATGATGCATTATTATTCTGCTAGTTAAAAATGTATTAGTTACTTACAATATTGCTGTAAGTTGTGCAAGTGACAGTGATTCAAGCACATGCATGTCAGTCGGCATCTCACGTCAAGTTCATAAAGAGCTTTAATTCAGTCCATTTTACAATCTGATTTTGGCCGCCTCTCAGTTTCTCGGATGGGTCAAACTAAAGATATTACCTCAGAAGTTCAAGTCAAATGAACTAGAAATCCATGCTCATTCAAGGGTGTGCATGGATGGAGAGAAAGCACTGAAATCATCAGACATCCATTAGTGCATGTGAGGGAAACAACTAGAAATACAGCGCTGGTTGTTCTCTCTACACTCGACAACAACGGAATCCAACAGCGTGCACAGGCCAAGGTATAATACATGTATTAAATTGTATCAAATAATCCCGGAAAAAGCATACACACAGCCAGTGGCGGCTGGTGAAAAATATGTAGAAAATTAAATGCACCAGTCTCGTGATGTTTGAAATTAAGAGCTTCAACCCATGAACTGCCCGTTAAACAAAGATAAAGCATTGATTTGTACCAGGGCAATAAAGAGGGCTCAAACATCTTTTTAATTATGAGAGTCTCAGTCTACATGACATTACCAAAGGTGTTTTAGGTTGGCAAACAATTATTATAATAATGTAACAATGATTTATTTAATTATTCATATGACGTAAAATCCATATAGCCAATAAATGTACTATATAAATGAAAATGAATATTTCAAAAGTATATTTTAGTCTACATTACACTATAATATAGGAAAATTAAAATACTTTAGTCCTTATTTCTACACTTGCAAGAAATAAATCCTTGAGCTTTTATTTAAGAGAAAACACCAGATGACCATGAAGATCGCGTGAGCAAAGTGCACACATTTCTCTAAATACCCAGCAAAAACAGAATGCCTATTCTTAAAGTCTTGTGCTGTTTTATGAAGGCAAAAAACATTATTCATGGTTTCGATTTTTGTTCATTGGCAAAATATAATGCTAGAGACCTTCATGATAGTTTATACATTTTACATATGTTCGGCAAAAGGCGGATTCGAATTCGGGTCTGACTGTATCAAAGCTCTTTCACGAACCACACGCTCTACGATCCACGCCACTACAGCTGTTCCGTGACAGGCGCGTTTTAGCTACACTTACTGCAAATATAGGCTATGATCTGTTTTATTAGACCGGCCTTTGCGGCCTCGAAACACTGACCCCACCCCCAGAGATTGAACGATGTCTTTCTCGTATGCCGCCGCTGCTACGTGACCACACCAAGTAACTCAAAACTCCATGTTACTGGAGAATTAACACTGCTTGGTTGAATTGAGCAAATTTAGTGATGTTTTAATAGGATATCAGAGCTTCATTGGTTAGATAGCGAGAGTGCTCTTTATCAGCGCCCCGAGGATAAAACTTCACGAATAAGCTGGCTTACAAAAATATCCCCACCCCCTCCCAGTCCTTCTAGTGTGTAAAACACGTATACCTGTACAGAAGAAATTCATGTTTTTGTCAAATTTAAATTTTTTGTCAAATTGTCAATTTTTTTTTTTTACTTGGTAGGAGGGGCGCCCATAATAGACCAGCCGCCTCTGCACACAGCTGAGGGTGACGCTGACAGCCAGCAAACAAACGACTAGCAGTGAAAACAGCAGCAATCCACCTGTCACTCAAGTGGCCACGCCCTTAATCATGCAGAACTTAAAGGCTTAAAAATATAAAGTTGTAAAAATATTCACCCCTCCCCCTCGCTTTTGAAGCCAGCCTCAAGCGGCCACTCGATGAATTGCAGTTTCATTCACTTGCGTGTTGGTTTCAAGAGAGAGACGGGTTGCCGCTTGGCTCGAACTCAAGAGCGAGCACTCATGATACACGGCTACACTGAGAATTAACACACCACAGAAAGCATCACACAACATGCTAGAAACTCATAATCTGCACCGTTACATTAATAAGCTACTTTTATCAGCTTGACGTTGAACTAATGCTCCATGCTCATAGCATGATAACGTTTAATTTGTGGTGCTATCTAGCATAAGGCATTTCACTAACTACTCATGTATCTTTCACAATCAGCAATGTCAACATAGGTGAATGTATAACATGATAACGAAAACGGTTAGTGAACTAGACTGAACAATTTCAGTGAAACAGTAAGATCATAGTAAGTAACATTACTGTGCTGAAGGTGTCTGGAAATGTGTATTATAAACAATATAGTAGTGGGATGAGTGACGTTAGACAGTAGATCTAGTACATAAAATAAATTGCAATCCTAAAGCACCAACTTTTTGGTATCCTTGAACAGTATTCATTTCATGTCTCATATGTTGTAGTTTACCTTGCCATTTCATTACAATTTACCATTATTTGAAACCTGAAAACTTGTAATTTATCACTATAAGAAATAGCAGAGGTCTATCCATAATTAAAATGCTCTGCCGATGTTGATCCGTGTTTTCGTTCTAAGTCGATCCGATTCACATTTGGCCTGACAAGCTGCAGCAGATACATTTTTGTTTTGTTTTTTATATTTTTGTGGAGTTTGTGTTGGAGTCTGTGTTGTGCTGGAGCTAGGTTGTGTTTTGGTGTTATCAGAGTAATCAGACTCCATGTCATTCGCTGCAGTGCCATCGCATAGACTGTTTATAAAAAGGAGAGAGGCTCGGGAGCGCACATGCACGTCACATCCGATGGATTTTGCAGATAATCCGACCCGGAGACTTCACAAATAGGAAATAGGAATACTGGCCTTCAGAGGTAATAGCACAACCCGACAAGTGGATCATTTTAGTGTGCGATTACAACCCCGTCACACACAGGGAATAAAAAAGTATTCATTTTAGAAGTTACATATAGCACCTATTTAGGAATAGTTCACTTTAAGGCTGCAGTCCGGCGTTTTTCCTCTGTCGCCATCTCTGGTTGAAATCTGCAATTACAGTCATTTAAGGAATTATCAACTTTACGCGAGTTGTACTTCGACACCCTCGACACAGCACAGCGCGGATGAACACAATGTTTGAGGAGAGTGTGAGGCTGTCAGTCGACGCGCCGGTGTCGATACTGGCATTCAGAATCACAGATTATTTTTTTTGGAAGTATGACCAACACAATAATTTTCACCGGAAAATGTAATCTGAACAAGTAACATCCAATTTTATTCTGGTTCTGACATTGCATTACACTGAATTGCTTATCATATCACGCAAAACCGTGCAAATTATACTTTGTTCTCAAATTGTTAATGTTAACAACGTCAGTAAGCAATGCGTGACTACGTGTAATGTCCTTCCGATTTGTATCCTTGTTTTTCGCATGGGTCTGGTTGCGGTCTCTTTTTCCGTAGCCACTCCGAAGTCTGAACGAAGTCTTTTGCATTTTATAGTGGGTGAATCTGCTGTCACTGGTGATTGTTGTTTGAACCTTTATGGATCCGCCATCAAATTGATATTATAAGTTTAATTATATCAAGTGCTGTGAGAAAAGACTATAAATCTCCACCTCCAACATCCTCACACGCAATATAGCTTATAACCAGACAGTTGATGGAACCCATTGACTTCCATAGTTGAAAAAAAATATATATACATCTAC